TAATTATATATTATATTTTCCTTTTTCAAGTATGAAAAGATCCCTCCCTCCAAAATTGTCTGATGAATTCTAGTGAGGTACAATTGATAATCTTTGAAACAGTATGAATTACTCATAGTGACAATAGTAGTTTGTGTTTCTATGGAATTTGTTTTGATAGAATAGTAATTTTGTTTCTGTAGATAAAAAGCATGATTTTGAACAACATTCCTATGAGAAAGGCAGGTTTCATCTCCCTGATGTGGGGGAGAGGGGATGGGTCATAGAAAGAGATAGTCATTCCTCTAGAAGAGGATTTGAGGAAAGAGGAGAGAAGATGGTTTGTTTGCAAATTCTACAACCTGTTGACAAAAAGCTGACCACAGTTTTGTTTTGATGGGAAGGACCTTTTAATGCTAATATTGCCATTTACTTTGTATTTTTTCATAAGTGCATTATAATTAGTGGGATTTATTGTTACATATTTATACAGTTTTGATCTCCATCAAATTAAACATCTTCTGTAATATTCACTAACTAATCAGTTGAAGTATGAAATTCTAGCCTAAAAATAAATACTTATCACCTATGTTAGCTTTTCATTAGGATTACAAATATTTGTAATAAATCAACTTACAAAGAGAAAAAGCTTGTTTGGGCTCACAGTTTTGGAGGTTTAAGTCCATGGTCAGTTGCCCTGTTGCTTTTGGGCTTCTAGTAGAGTGGGGGTGGCACATCATGGCAGGAGTGTGTGGCAAAAGTGTTCACCTCATGGCTGGGATAGGAATGAGAGAAAGGAAGGGGTCAAGGTCCCAATATCTCCTTCAAGGGCATATCCCCAGTGATATACCTGTTTTAGTTTCCACCACCTCCTGATAGTGTCAACCTGGGGCCTAAACCTTTAATACATGGGCTTTTGGAGGTCATTTAAAATACAAACTAGAGCATCAGCCACAATGGGTAAAGCTGTGTGTGTGTGTGTGTGTGTGTGTGTTTGTGTGTGTGTGTGTTATACTGGAGCATTCTATATACTTCATTGTAATTTTTGAACAACATTCCCGTGAGGAAGGCAGGTTTCATCTCCCTGATGTGGGGGAGAGGGGATGGGTCATAGAAAGAGTCATTGTAAGATATACAATGAAATATATAGAATGCTTAAGCCCTAACCACCGATCAGGTAAAACAGGTCCCTAAACAGATTATGAACCTCGTAGCGCTACAGATAATTCATTTTTTAAAAGTGGTTAAAATTTACAAAGCATATTTACACATATTATCTCATTTGATATCTTCAGTTACTCCAAGATAGCCTCATAATTCCTATTTTCTAATCAAATAGGCCAAGGTCTAGATTGGATAATTAACTTGCTGAGTTCACATGGTTGATAAGTAGTTGAGATTTGAGCTAATGTCTTCTGAGACTAAGGTTAGGTTCTTTCCATCTCATTGTAGTTGCCTTGCAGTTGATAATCTTTGGATTATTTAAAAGGGAGATTATTCCAAGGCCAAATCCAAGCAACCATCATGACATAGAGATGGTCCAAATTATATAGTTGAGATCATTTGTCCTCTAATACAGTGTTTCTTAAAGTGTAATCCACTTGTATTAGAATCACAGAAGTTTGATAAAAATTATTGGGATTTCTGAAGATTTTGTCTAATTAAAGTTTGGAGCAGTGCTCTGGAATCAATATGTTAAATTCAAAAATGATTCACACAATCTGTTGGAATTTTTGATGTGGCACAATTTTCCTGGCTATTGTTCAAACCTTGTCAGATCTAATTTTGGTTATAACCTTGCCAGTGTAGACTTTTTTTTACTGTTGCTTTTCTTTAATTTCAAAAGACACTACTGTAGGAGGAAAATTCTCCTGCTAATTCCTAGAAGCAATATTCAGTTTAATGTGAAATATGTACATGGGGAAAAAAAACACTGATCACACCCAACACACTATAGGTTCCCACTCTCTGGGCCTTCTAGAACTTGACATTTCTCTCCACTTTGCTTTAAAAGAAAGGGTTTCCCCTTATTTCTCGCATGGCCCTCTCCTTCTCCTCTACTGACTGTTAAACCTTGGCATGTGATAATGAGATTAATATTACTGAGAATCTGGGCTCAATTCATTCTAATGATTATTATTTATGTATTTGTGTTCCTTTCTCGTTTTTATTTTTAGTTGTAGTTGGACACAATACCTTTATTTTATTTATTTATTTTTATGTGGTACTAAAGCTCAAACCCAGGGCCTCACACATGCTAGACAAGTGCTCTACCACTGAGCCACTGTTAGCCCCCAAACACCTGGAAGAATGCAAACTTCACAAATTAGCTCAGCACTTTATTCAGGAACAAAGTTTCACTTAGGAGCAGGGGATGCAGGGATGAAATGATGCCATGGTGGGACCCAATTTCCTGGTGGAAAATGAGCCCACGAACAAAGGAAGGGCCTGGTCTTATATAGGTTATCCTGAGAGGTGGTCTAGTGAGCATATCAGTTTTCTTGGGTACCCAGGAATTTGAGGTTTGTTCTATCAATCCATGAAGGGGTGAGTTTGAGTGCTGAGGAATTTGAGCTCTTGGGTCAGGGTCTATGATCCACATCTGGAGAGGATTTACTCCAAGGAAGGTCAATACCCGTGAGAGGCTATAACCTCAGTGTGATGAGACACCTCCTTCCTGCCTGCAATTAACATCAGGGAAACATTTGTCTTGGGAAATGAAAGCTGTCAGTGCTTGGCTTTCTTTTTACTCCCTTTTTCTCAGGCTACATTATTTTGGGGATTCTTCATTTTTCATATCTATTAGCTACAACCCCAGCCCCCTGTGTTCCTTTCTTAAGGAAAGGGAAGTATATGAAGTTCCATCAAAATCTTTGTTTTTATGATCTAGAAAATCTACATCCTGATGAGTAAGTCCAATGACAGCAGCAACATAAGTGAAACGAGCTGATTACCCGAATCCTCTGTGTCTTGCAGGTGTTATTTATATACTGGGTGGATACAGTCAGGCTTTTCTGTTTACCTATGACTCTACAACTTGTTTGATTCATCTGAGGGAAAAATGAGACTCAATGTCTCCAAATAAGGAATGGAATATTCCAGGCAGGGCCGTGATCTCTTCTTCCAAGAAGTGGAATGCTGGAACCAACAGTCTAGGGTTGTAATTACAGTCCTTGCAGAAAGTTTGCCTTTATTTTGTTTTTAATTGACAAATAATAATTGTATACATTTAGGGAGGTACAATCTGATGGTTTTTTTATGTGTACACATTGCAGAACAATCGAATCAGGCTATGTTGCATATCTATGACCTTGAATGGTTATCATTTCTTTGTGGTGACAACAATTTAAAATCTCTTTTAACTGTTTTGAAATGTACATTATTATTAACTTACAAAGGTTACTTTGAAAATACCAATCAGTTAGCATATTCAGAGATTTTTTCTTGATCTGTGTGACTCCTGTCAATTGGGAGTTAGAAATGATGGTCTTGGGCTAGGGGTATGGTTCAGAGGTAAAGTAGGCTTACTTGTTACGAGTGTAGCCTTGTTGGATCCCCAGCAAGGGAGGGTGGGCTGAATAGGTGGTCGTTAAAGATGCCTATTGTTCTAACATTCTCCAATGTTATATCTTGCTTTCTTTTCAAAATTTATTTCACAAATTTTTTTTGATTACCTATTCTGAGACAAGTGTTGGGGATGTAGCTGTAAAAAAAAAATAGTGTTTCTACCCTTATGAATCTTACATGGTGGGGAGGGAATAGATACAGACATTAAAGGACTCATTACATGAATAATTTATTATAATTGCCATGTGTGCAGTGAAGGGGAAATAGAGGCAGACTGCTGTGACCTAGTTCAGTGGAGGATGAGGGGAGGTTTTTCAGAGGATGTAACATTTAAGACCCAGATGATTAATGGGAAGCAGGCTGATGAGGAGAAGGACTAAGAGGATGCCTAGCAAAGACCGTGAGGTGGGCTGCAGCCTGGCACTGTGGACAAGCAGGTCAAGCACTGTGTGTCTAAGGAGAAAGGGAGGGAAGACAGCCTGGGACAAGCCAGAATGAGGCAGAGGCCTTTTTTTTTTTTTTTTTTTTTTTTGTAGTTGTAGATGGACAGAATGCCTTTATTTTGTTTATTTTTATGTGGTGCTGAGGATCCAACCCAGTGCCTCATACATGATACGCAAGTGGTGGGCCACTGAGCTACAGCCCCAGCCCCAGTGGTGGCCGCCTTATGCAGGGCTATGAACAAGAATCTGTGTTTTATAATCAAGACAATGGAAAGCTGTGGAAGGTTTTAAAGATCACTCTGGGGATGGAGAGAGAGATTTATCATGATGAGCAAATGGTAGATGGTGAATATAGGTGATGGGTCTAAGGGTGTTTGCCATGAAATTCTTTCAACCTTTCTGTATGTTTGAACATGTTAAATAACATTTTGGGACAAATCATTCTATCTAAAGTGTGGAGGATGGATGGAGGGAGGACAAGAGTGGTTGCCCAGGGGCTGTGGATATAGTTCAGTTGGTAGAGTGCTTGCCTAGAATGCACAAGGTCCTGGGTTCAATTCCCAGTACCATGACATCCCCCGCCCTTGCAAAAACACACACACACACACAAAAGAAAAAAAGAGTGGTTGCCCAGATCACAGCAAGGACACCATTGAAATAATTTTAGAATGGGGTAATGGTGGCTTGCCACAGAGAAAGGAGACTTTCATAGGCTCTAGAGATATTGAGAAGACAGAATTAGTATGATTTCCTGATTGATTTTTTGCCTCAGAGCAAGGGAGAGACAGAAATCAAAGATTACTACTAAGTGCCTAGTTACCGAAATTGGTTGGATGATGGGACCAAGTACTGAGACAAGGAGCACTGGAGGAGGAAGACATGGTGTGAGAGAGATGGTGGGACAAAGAACTCAGCATTCAGTTTTGAACGTGTTTGAAACACAAACTATCTTGGTGTCATAGAAGCAAATGGATCTGGTTTGTCAAAGTCAAATACAAATACAGCAACAAATTTCCAAGAAAAAGACTTTATTTGGGAATAAAACACAGGATTACAATCAGACATAAAACTGAAGCAATCTCTGGTATGGCCAGAGAATTAAGTAAAAGATTAGGGTTTTATTGGAGAGAGGGGATTACACAAGTTATTTTGGAAGCAAGTTCATAGGTGCTGGCAATGACTTTGGGGAGCAGGCAAGCTCTGATTGGTGAGCAATGACAGTTGCTAAGTAAAATTGATCTTAAAGTCATAGTGGGTCATTTCATTGGATTGGGCTTGCATGAGAGCGTCTGGAGCAGGCATTTATGACTTATGGCTTTTGGGCTGTTTCCAATCTCTTGCAATAAATGTCCTTATAAGTACTTATTTCTCACATATGCACCTATCTCTTTAGGATATATGCCCAGAAATGGAATTTCTGGAAAAAATACATATCTCATTTTGAATTTCATAGTGTTTATTTTTAAAGCAAACATTGCTTAGAGAAGCCATTAAGCACAGATGGCTTAGTTAGCCATATTTAACATGGCATTTGACAGGCCTGGTTAAATAAATATTCCAATAGTGTGATACCCTGTAGCTATAAAAAAGAACAAGGAGGTTGATATATATATTTCTATCACAATTTTGAACTATTGGAATCTGTGCCATTCATAAGTATTACCTATGTTTTGAATTATTATTTTATCTCAACTTGGTAAATGAGGTTTCTGATAGACTTTTGCATATCTGGGTTTTTGTCTAATAGATATCCAGTTAGGTGTTGGATTTTATGAAACCATGATACAGAGAATTGCTCAAAATGCAGCAAAGTTCTGAACATATAAATTTCATGTTCTTCTTGAATTCAAGTTATAAATTTAGGGATTTATTATTTTGCCACATTTATTATTAGTGAATAAATCTACTTTGTTGTATCTACTTCAGAGATATCTCTAGACTTCATCACTACTTCCCCTAAAAATGTCACTGAAGACAGAATGAGTCACATCAAGTCTGAAGACAATTTATTTCTTCTGTGGGAAGTAGTGATGATCATCTACCTTTTGTTTTCTGCTTTTAAAAAAGGCAACATGAAGATATGAGTGTGGTTTTTTAAAGTACCATACTTTCTAAGTGATGCTAGACTAATAACGTCAGTTTTCTAGAATTAGATGGCCTAGTTTTGAACAATATTGAAAATGGATTATTAATTCCTTTGTGAAGAATAATACTACATACATTCTTCAATCAATTTTCAAAGTTCAAGAGGCAATCTAAAAATAATGGAACAACTGTCCAGAAGAACCCTGAACATGATTCTGGTTCTCCTACTATTAAAATTCAGTTCCTATACTTTTTAATCATTTTTAAATATTTTTTAATTGTAGATGGACATGATACCTTTATTTAATTAATTTATTTTTTTTTATGTGGTGCTGAGGATCGAACCTAGGGCTTCACACATGCAAGGCAAGCGCTCTACCACTGAGCCACAACCCCAGCCCTCACTGAGCCACAACCCCAGCCCTTCTATACTTTTAAGGATTTTATATGTATTCAAGTGAGAAAATGAGCTGAGGAGCCAGACTATGGCTCCAGAACATTCCTAGGTCATGCATTTCATGCGTAAGTAATCAGACTCTCACCTATCTTCCTTGATATATGCCCTGTGTCCACCTTAATAAGCCTAGAATCATGTCAAGGACTGCAATGGGAAAAACACTGGCCTAAGATTGAAGTTCAGATTCTGCCACAGCCTCCCCATGACCTTGGGCAAGTCATCTCAGCTCTCTGGGCTTCAGATTTAGAATTCACAAAATGAAGAACCAGGCCTGAATTAGAATTATCTGTAACTACCTTTGCATCTAAGTTTGGTGACTCAAGTATTTGGAATTCCAGGTAAAGAAGATACAACAAATTGAATTACTGGCCCCAATTTTTGTATCCCTTCCTGCATGATCATTCTTATCATGGCTTCAATGTAGGCAAAGTATATTTCCTTGCCTCCTGACTTTTGGGCTTGGCCATATGGATTTCCTTTGACCAATGGGACATGACACAAGCAGGGGATCTAAATGTACTTGAGCAGTGGCGCTCATTCTGTTTCATCCAAGAAACAGACACAAGCTGCATACCTAGACTCTCAGGCCTGTAGCAGGAAGCAGAGCTGCCCTAGGCAGGCTCCATAACTATGAGGAAAAAAGAGGTTGTTGTTTTAAGTCATTGACATTTGGCATAGTTTTCATTTAGCATTATTATGGCTATAGCTAACCACTACCAAAAGAGCTAATGAGAACTTGGGGGAGGGAAACATAAAAGGGAGAGAACAAATAGAGTCTCTGACTCCTATATTAGTATAGAAGAGAGACAGAAATGAGCCAGGTGCAGTGGCCCATGCCTGAAATTCCAGTGGCCCCGGAGGCTGAGGCAGGAGGATCACTGAGTTCAAAGCCAGCCTCAGCAACTTAGTGAGGCCCTAAGCAACTCAGTGAGACCCTGTCTCTAAATAAAAAATGAAAAAAGGAAAAAAAAAAAAAAACAGAGAGGCAGAAATGAAATAGCAGCATTAAACTTTAAACTTGTCTCAATGAACAAAATGTGAAAAGATGTATTGATTGCCTTTTTTTTCTTATTCCTTTTTAGTTAATGGCTTAGAACATTTCTAAAAATAAATGTTTATAACAGAGTTAATAGTTAGGTCATCAGTAGGGTGACCCTATATATCCCAGTTTACCTAGGTCCATTCTAGTCTACATCTGTTGTGGTGGTATAATTACTGAGCTCTCTTCTCTCAAAAGTAGGCTGATTTAGAAGATGAATTCCATAGTCACCAGAGAAAGCCCTGTCAGTCCATCCTGAAACACTACCTGCTCAATTTAAGTTTGCTACCATAACAGGAACAGGAACAGGAAACCATCCCCCATCGCGCCTTCTTTGGATCGCAGGAATTCCTAGGGTGAGCAAAGGGTGGCCAGTATGCCTGCTTTTAACTCTTCAAACGATCTGCCTTCTTAGTGGTTTCCTTTCTGCTCCAACTATTTGAGAAAACCTAAAGTAACTCAGAAAAAGATTGGAGACCCCAATCTCTAATTGCTTTAAATAAGCTTGTGCCATTTCTGTTACCATATAAAGCCTATGAACCACTACACAATTTGCTTATTGACAGGACAGTGTGGTATACTTTCTATTATCTAATCAAGGAGGCTCTGGTCCATGGACAAACAGAAGTGCATGGTTTTTTGTTTCTTTCTTTCTTTTTCTTTTTCTTTTTTTTTTTTTTGGCACTCAGCAAGATCCTGAGTGTTCATAACACTGACATCTCTCCCCTCATGTCCCAATACCCTCAGGTGAAAAATGGCAGGGAAACAGAGTCCAAGGTCCTAGACTTGGACTACTGGTAGGAAATGGCAGCCAGACAGACAATCCCCAGTTATCCTCGAAGAACTGGTTCCTTCAGAGCCTACACTTCCCCATGCTGGAACGGAGCATGAGTATCCCCTCCACAGGGATTCCAGGATTGTCGGCCATCTTTTGCCAAAGGCGTTGCTCTTCTCCCTGAGAGTCCATCCAATCCACATTCTTCCCATGGCTCACACCTGAAGAAGGGAAAGGGGAGCGTTACATTTCACAGATGAGATATATTCACCTTATGAAAGGCACCTATCAGCCAGTGAGGGAGCCTTTTAATGAGAGAGCCCTTCTCTGGCTTGTTATCACTTCCCCATCTAATGAGCCCTGTCAGAATGGAATCAGTCCTTTGCACCTGCACTACTTTTTTTCTGCTTAGACAATGTGAGACCAATCAGGCCAGCTCTGGTGGTTCATTTCCTCTCCACTTTGGTAGTTCCATGGAGAGCTGGCTCACTGGGACTGAGTTAACATGACAGAATGAGCTGACTTCAGCTCTCTTTCTAACACGATCACTTCTCTGATCGGAGTGGCATAGATACCCTTAGATCTAATTAATCTACAAATAAGTAAAGCATTATAGGGGGTGGGGTTTTTCTCAACAGAAATAATAGTGCAGAACATATATGTCTGTCTAAGCAATGGGATAAGGAGGGTTTGGCGGACTGCATGTGCTCTGCTAGTGCTCACATGCTCAAATACTAGAATGTGCCCCTCCCCCAATACACCCTGTTATAGTCCCATCTTGTGGCACCAGTGGTGTGTTTCCATGACCTGTATAAACAGCACTAGTTACTATTTTTTAGAGAAAATAATTGGTTTTGTTTCAATTCTACCAGTATGAATAATGGCTGCAAGTGCTAGACAGAACAGAGAAGAGGATTAGGTAAACTTGGCCTTGAAGGTCCTGTCTTCACTATCAGAAGCCTGTGCTGTGCATACCTGTAATCCCAGCAGCTCCAGAGGCTGAGGCAGGAGGATCATGAGTTCAAAGCCAGCCTCAGCAACAGCAAGGTGCTAAGCAACTCAGTGAGACCCTGTCTCTAAATAAAATACAAATAGGGCTGGGGATGTGGCTCAGTGGTCAAGTGCCCCTGAGTTCAATCCCCAGTACCTCCCCCCCCCAAAAAAAAAAAAAAAAAAAAAAAAGCCTGTGCTGTCTTGAACAGTCTTTCCTAAGAAAAACCTAAAGACCCAAGAAAAAAAAATTTTTTTTTGTACTGGAGATTTAACCCAGGGGTACTTTACCTCTGAACGACATCCCCAGCCCTTTTTGTTTTGAGACAGGCTCTTACTAAATTTCTAGGGCCTCATTAAGTTGCTGAGGTTGGTCTTGAACTTGCAATCCTCATGTCTCAGCCCCATGACCCTCTGGGATTACAGGCATGCACCACTGCTTTGCCCGCCAACATATATATGAATATAAACATTATACCTCCCAAACGTCTAGCCTAAGGATATGAAGTTATAGGAGTAATGGTTCTATTTTATCAATGAGCAAATCTTTAGCTAAAGGAATGGAATTTCTGTGATAATTTCAGGTCAGTTATTGCTGAAACTATATGAACATTTACTACACCTCATACATAAAGAAATCATGCCCTTGTGCCATGCTCAGCCACAGACTATCTCAGGGTTCCCAAGTTCCTCACCACTTCCAGAATTCAAACGAACTCCTCCTAGAAAGATGTTGCTGGAAAAGGCCTCCTTGTCCCAGATGGTAAGTTCTAGGCAAACATTCTTTATATCCTGGGGTTGCAGGCCACTGAACATGAAAGTATGATTCCACTGAGGATTAACACTCTTCTTTACGACCATAGTTTTGTGCTTTGTGGCTTTGTTGTCATCAGGGAGCAGGTAGCTGTAGGAAAAAACACAATCAAACCATCAGTGGGATACGCTCAAGTAATCATTTCAATTATGGGTAATTCCTGGTGTGTGTATGTATGTGTGTGTGTGTGCATGTGTGTGCATATGTGCGCATGCATACAAATGTGATATATGTATTTGATTTTCTCTCCCAGGTTCTTCTTTTGTGTGTGTATTGGGGAGATTGAACTCAAGGGAACTCAGTCACTGAGCCACATCCCCAACCCTTTTTTGTATTTTATTTATAGACAGGGTCTCACTGAGTTGCTTAGGGCATTGCTAAGTTCTGAGGCTGGCTTTGAACTTGTGATCCTCCTGCTTCGGTCTCCTGAGTCACTGGGATTACAGGCATGTGTCACTGTGCCTGGCTTTTCCCAGGTTCTCATATGTTTACATCTGGATTTGCATTATGGAATGGCTGTTTAGTTTTCTTTTAAGTGAGGCAATAGTAATACACCCCCTCTATTTTTTCTAATCCTATTTTGGTCCTTCTCCCCATCTTATACAGGAAATACCTCCTCTAATAAATACTACCAAAAGCCCTTTTTTGTCTTTTCTTGGGTCACCTCTGAGCTGACTTATAGCCAGGATGGACAGTTCCTGGCACACACTTTCAGTTCTGCACATAGAGCACCTGTGTGTCTCAACTTCGCTAATTAAGACTTTGTTCCTGTGTGAGCTCAACTTATGTAGCGAGCACCTTGGAATTACTGGTGATTCAATGCCTTTGGGAAAAATCATCAATCATTGAGTTTTGGAAATTGGGGTTCCTTATCCCTTGAAGGGACAACCCTAAGGAACATTTACAGAGTTCCTTGTTGCCTCCTTAGTAAAATTGAGTCCTAGTGACCCATAATGTTAAACTGCCCATTAACATATCTTTTTTTCTTTTTAAATGAGAGAGAGAGAGAGAGAGAGAGAGAGAGAGAGAGAGAGAGAGAAAGAGAGAGAATTTTTTAATATTTATTTTTTTTAGTTTTTGGTGGACACAACATCTTTATTTTATTTTTATGTGGTGCTGAGGATCGAACCCAGCACCCCCGCGCATGCCAGGCGAGTGCGCTACCACTTGAGCCACATCCCCAGCCCCAAACATATCTTTTTTTTAAATCAACCTTTCTCCCTCTTCTATCTCACCTTCTCCACTCTCTCATTGGTGCTTTTTGGAACTTCTTGTCCAATTAAACATGTGTGCTTAGGCCTTTTCTACTATAGTCAACTGTCCCAGGCTCTATGTAGATGATGAATACTACTTTTTCTCCCTCAGGGAGCATGCTTTAGGGAAGGAGATTGATATGTGTATGGAATCAGTGCATCTGACAATGATGAAAAGTATCACAAGCAAGTTAGCTTACAATAAAGAAGATACAATAGATCATGTAAAATGTAATTTTGTGTACCATGCAGAGAATTCATGTTGGCATACAACATTCAGTCTCTATGTATTCCTCTAAAAGAAATCCCCATTTTAAAATTTGAGGTACAAGTGTGACCAGAATAAAGACTACCTCTAACCTAGGTAATGACACAGGCATATAATCCCAGCATCTCAGGAGGCTGAGGCAGGAGGATTGCAAGTTCAAAGCCAGCCTCAGCAACTGAATGACTTAGCGAGACCCTGAGACCCTGTCTCAAAATAAAAAAAACACAAAAAGGGCTAGGGATGTAGCTCAGTGGTTGAGCGCCCCTTGGTTCAATCCCTGGTTTTAAAAAAAAAAAACAACAACACTACCTCCACCCTCACCCCCTGCCCCTTTGTAGCTAGTACAGCAACATGACTAGGTTCTGGCCAGTGGGACATATGAAATAGTTTTGTATGAAACTTATGGGAAGTATCCTACCAGCTGGAATTGGGATGGAATAGCTGAAATCTGAGCAGCTATCCTGGCGCAAGAAGTAGATACCATAATAGGACAGAAAAAATACTGTGTCACTTATAATTATGATGTTTCCATGCCTGCCATGGGTACATTAGCTTGAGTCTTTTCTGACATGTAAGAGAAATAAAGAGAAACTTTTGTCTTTTTTAAGCCACTGTTAATTTAGCTCACTGACAAACTAATATAATTAAGTAATTATGTAATTTTAAAATGTTAGAATATTAAACTTACATAAAGGTCTATTCTTGCTCTCTCTCTCTCTCTCTCTGATTTTATGTTTGTTTGTTTTTATTTTTTAATTTCAGGGCTGGGTGCAGTGCCACATACCTGTAATCCCAGCAATGTGGGAAGCTGAGGCAGGAGAATCACAAGTTCAAGGCCAGCCTCAGCATCTTGGTGAGGCCCTAAACAACTTAGCAAGACCCTGTCTCTATATCAAAAATAAAAAGGGCTGGGGATATAGCTCAATGGTAAAGCATCTTTGAATTCAGTCCCCATTACCAAAAATATATATACATATATAATAAATAACTTAAAAATGTCAGTTTCCTTTAAAATCAGCTTAATATTTAAGTACAAATAAGAAGAAAATTTACTGGAAAGTTAGACTTTTTTTTAATAGAGCAAAAATGCTATCCTTTATTATTTCTGTTTCATAAATTCTCAATAGGAGAAAGTGAAAACTGTTCCAGAAGATAGTAAGTCACCCCTGTAAGGTCACAGTGAGGTCATGGGCCAGGAGCCATCCTCTTATCCCATAAGACAGTGAGCAGCAGAGGCTACAAGTGGTTGGTGGGGTTGGTGAGACAAACTGTACCCTCAAGATCCAAAAAAGTGTTTCTTCTATGCTTCAATCTATTGCAAGAAAGAATGAAAAACTGATGAACGAGGACACACGTTCACCAATGGGGAAGCCCCAGATATCGGCTTCTCTTCACTATTGGCTATTGGCTTTACCAAAGTCACAATGTGCAACGGTGGGATGGGGTCAGATAGCTCAGTGGTGGAGCGCTTGCCTAGCACATGTGAGGCCCTGGTTTTAATCCCCAGCATGGCAAAAAACAAAACAAAACAAAAAGAACATTTGAGGATAAAGGCATGACTCATTTTCTTGTAAGAAAAATACACATTTCTAAGAAGGCTGCACGAGAAGAAAAAACTGTCATCTGACTCAAAGAATTAACCTGGTGGCCTGCCAGCAAAGGAACTTGCTTTACCTCATGTGCTTTATGATTCTCTGTAAAGCCAGCATCACGTCTTAGCTCAGCAGATGGTCCTGGAGGCTCTCCAGAACACTCTCTAGTGCCTATCTCCAAGGAAGATGCTCTGATTTGTCTACTTTAAAAAATTTCCCAAGAGAGCAAAATAGCAAGTATCCAATATTTTGGTGGTTGTTTTATATTGGCACCAAATAATTATAAACCATAATAAAAGTACATTATGCACAGAAAATCATACTTTTTCTTCCTTTAAGAAATGAATATCAAAGGAAAATCTGCTGGTCTTGAGGGTGAGAGAGACAGGAACTCCTGAAACATTCTGGAAACACAGTGTAAGCTTCAAGAAGTAGCTCCCTCGACATTCCTATTGTTTTAGATATAAGAGCCAGCGCTTAGGGTGGCTGGTTCTTCCTCAGGACATGTCCTAGGAATGGAACATGGAAGCCTCATAGCCACCAGTGTTGTGGATCATAGATCTTTTCATCTCCCAAGTATCAGAAATGCACTAAAACAAAATTACCCCTTCACAAAGCTGTCAGAGGTGCCTCCTGATTTCACCGCTGTCAAATTCTTTGCTTCTTTGATGAACACTTCTAGTATTCCTCCAGACATTACAGGTGATTCCTTTTTCTTTCCCTTTTTAAAGGTCTTCTTTCCTGCATCAGCCACTAAAATGATGGGGGGCGGGGGTGGAGAGATGATGATCATGGATTCCACTTCAAAATTTGCAAAGAACATCTGCAAACATTGACTTCATTTGCTGACTGAATGGGGTGTTTATGCTATTGTATATTTTATATTTATTTAAATTGGATTCTCAATATGGAATTTCCTCAAAAGACTAAGCATGGAACCACCACATGACCCAGATATACCACTCCTCAGTATTTATCCTAAGAATTAAAATCACCATACTACAGTGATACATGCATACCCATGTTTATTCCAGCACAATTCATAATAGTCAAATTGTGGAACCAGTCTAGGTGTCCATAAACAGATGAATGGATAAATAAAATGTGGCACATATACACAATGGGGTTTTATTCAGTCATAAAGAAAAATGAAATTATGTCATTTTCAGGAAAATGAATGGAACTAGAGATATAATGTTAAGTGAGATAAGCCAAACTCAGAAGTTTAAGGGCCATATGTTTTCTCTCAAAAATGGAAACTAGAGAGGGAAATGGAAAAGAAAGGTGGGGGTGGATCTCCTAAAAATCAAAGGTAGATCAAAAGAGGAAAGGGACCAAGGGGTGGGACATAGGGAGGGAGGAAGTGCTGGGAGTGATATTGACCCATATCACTAATATATAATACTAGATTGTTGTATTGTGTATTGTGTGCATGTATGAATATGTAACAACAAATCCAATCAATATGCACAACTATAGTGTACCAATAAAAAATGTGGAAAAAAAAAAGCTGAGTGTGGTGGTGCACGCCTGTAATCCCAGTGGCTCAGGAGGCTGAGGCAGGAGGATCGTGAGTTCAAACCAGCCTCAGCAAAAGTGAGGTGCTAAGCAACTCAGTGAGACCCTGTCTCAGTGAGACCCAGTGATCGAATGGCCCTGAGTTCAGTTCCCAGTACCAAAAAAAAAAAAAAAAAAAAAAGTGGGAAGAAATAAATTTGATTCCTTCTAAATGAGTCTTTCATTTGTATTTGTTGCAAGAAAGTGAACAAGTAAACTTCAAAACTTAACTAGTCCCCTACAAAGCATACTTATCACAGGATCTGAAAGAAGGGATCAGAAAAGATCCTGAGAGCTGCTTCTAGAGTCACCATTATAATGAGAATTATAAAAGCCAGACACAAGCACCAAGTCTCCAAAAGAGAAAATTCCATAACTCTCTTTTTGTAAATTGTCAGCTTCAGACAGGGTCGGCTCTAGAGTTCAAAGCCAACCTCAGCAAAAGGGAGGCGCTAAGCAACTCAGTGAGACCCTGTCTCTAAATAAAATATAAAATAGGTCTGGGGATGTGGCTTAGTGGCCAAGTGCCCCTGACTTCAATCCCAGGTACCAAAAAAAAAGTAACAGTAACATAGCCCAACCAATCCCTGAGTGCCATTCCATATTTGTAAATATAGAATGTCATTGATCAAAGTCATTGATTTTTACTCTACCTTGAAGCTGTCCTTGTGGAACCATCAGGTAATCCTCTGGAGGAATGTAGCGCAAAACAACTGTTAGTTCTCCTTTGTATTGAAGGCCAATGTCAGCAGCAAACTCCATCTGGCCAAAGGGAGACAAGAAAGAGGTGAAATGCTTGGCATAGAGTATTGCAACCTATGTTTGAATGTACAATATTTGCTTGGTGGCTTAAATGTGAAAATCCATTTCCATTCAACTATGTTAGTTCTTATTTTTTGAGATGACTTATAAGAAAGCCTAGAAACGTATACTAAGACATTTGCATATAACTTTTTTTTTGCATATAACTTTTAACATTAAAGTAAAAGGAATTTGAAAGGAGATATGTTACACATATTTTGTCCCTCAATGGATATTGAATAATACCCTGAAGATTAAGCTATCACCTATCATATGCATACAGTATGCAGTGTGAGGCAGGAATAAATATGCCTCAGAAACAGTTCCAAAAGTTATGTCTCCCTGTCTTTGATGTCTTGAAGCTTTTCTAAGTGATCAAGATGGGAAAAGTAGGCAGTCATGCTTGATTACAATGGGCTGCCAGCCACCCATTATTGAAGGCAGTATTGGTAACTTGTATCATCAAATATCAATATGGATAAAAATATGAAATAAAAAATGTAGAGAAAATGGTTCACTTAAATATTGCTAGCAGGAATGTAAAATGGTGTGGCCACTCTAAATAACAGTTTTATAATTTCTCCTAAAACTAAACATGCAGCTACCATGCAACTTAGAAATTAAACGTTTGGGCATTTATTCCAGAGAAATGAAAAATTATATCCACACAAACATGAACACTAATATTCCTATCAGCTTCATTTGTAATAATAAAAAACTGGATCCTGGTGTGGTTACAGATGGCTATAATCCCAGCAGTTCAGGAGGAGGAGGCAAGAGGATCCAGAGTTCAAATCCAGTCTCAGCAACTTAGAGAGGACCTAAGCAATTCTGTGAGGTCCTGGCTCTAAATAAGATACAAAAAAAGGGCTGGGAATATGGCTCATTGGTTAAGTTCTGTTGCTTTTTGGCTTAAATTAAAATATACTGGTGATGTTGTATAAAATAGACAACAAGTCTTATGAAAGTAGAACACAATATAGATGAAGCCTTATAGCATTATAATTACATACTGCAAAGGTCATCTTGAAGCACATATCTAACATCTTGGTGGGGGGTAGTTTTGGTACTCTTTCTAGAAGATTCCAAGGTAACACCCTCTCCTGGCATATTACCATTTCCCTTCTGCAATGAAGTCCTGCTCAAAATAAGGTAGTGAAATTGAATTCAGTTCCATTCTACAAACATATCCAGAATGCTTACTTTTTATTAAGTACTTTGCTAAGTATTGTGGGGACACATGAGACACAGACCCTACTTTCAATCAACTTTCAGTTTATCCAGGTGATATCTGTGGTAAAAGCTCTATTAATCTACCCACATTAACTGACTCATCAGATTAATTAATGTTCTCCATCCCCAGTGAAGAGCAGGATCCTCTCTACAACAATCACTGTCTGCTTCCATGAGCAGAAAGGCATGCTCACCAAGAGTCCACTGCATTAGTCCCCTAAGCTCTTTCTGCTAGCCATATTTGTGATTGTCATTATATAATTTGATATCACATAAGTTGATTGGTGCAAAAGAAAGCTGTTACTATAAAAATTTAAGTTGAATATTTTAGAAGAGCCTAAGATCCTAAAACAAGGTTGCTATTATTTAGGTGTGGGCTTAAAACTGTAAAAGAACTGGACATGGAGTGCACACCTGTAATCCCAGTGGCTCAGGAGGCTGAGGCAGGAGATGGCTAGTTCAAAGCCAACCTCAGCAACTTAGGAAGGCCCTCAGCAACTCAAAGTTTTTTTAAACTTTGTTTTTAAAAAAAACAAAAAAACAAAATAGGGCTGGGCTGGGGATGTGGCTCAGTGGTTAAGCACTCTGTGTTCAAGTCCTGGTACAAAAAAAGGCTGAAAACATTAAAAAAATACCATGAACATTAAGAAAGATTTTGCATTTGGTTTACTTTGAAACCATTCTGAGTTTTTTTTATTATTATTATTTTGTTTGTTTGTTTTGGTACTGGGGATTGAACTGAGGGGGATTCTAGCACTGAGCTACATCCCCAACCCTTTTATTATTTTTTTTTAAGTTTGAAACAGGGTCTCTGTAAGTTGCCCAGGCTGGCCTTGAACTTGTGATCCTCCTATCTCAGCCTCCCATGTAGCTGGGATTACAAATGTGCACCACTGTGCCCTGCTGTAAGTGTTCATACATTCTGGTTTTGCTTTAGAAAAACTCAAGTGAGAAATTTTTGTTAATGTTGCATTAGGAGGTAAAATTAATTCCAGAAAGATATTCCAGAATTTTAATTACTAAACCCATAGTCAAACAAAATTGTCTTCAATAATGGAAAATATACACATGAATGGACAGGTAATTGTTTTAAAGTAAAATATATGTTCAAGAAAAATATTGAGAAACTGAAGTAATCAAACCAGCATGTTACACACAGACCAATGGAACAGAACAGAATCGAGAGCACAGAAATAAATACACACCTTTATGGTTAACTGATTTTCAACAAAGGTACCAAGAACATACAAAGAGGAAAGGAAAGTCTCTTCAATAACTGGTGTTGGGAAAACTGAATATTTACATGCAGAAGAATGAAATTAAATCCTTATATCACATAAAAAATCAAGTCAAACTAGATTATAGACTTAACATAAGACCTGAAATGGTAAAATTAGCTGAAGAAAATAAGGGGAAATTTCATAACACTGGTCTTGGAAAACATTTTTGGGATATGACCCCCAAAACACAGTCAACAAAAACAAAAATAGATAAACAGGATAGCATCCAAGTAAAACACTTCTGGCAGAGGAAAGAATCAACAGAGTGAGAAAATAATCTATTGAATGGGATAAAGGATTAATATTCAAAATGCATTAAAAGTCAAATAACATAGTAGTAGGAAAATGAATAACCTGATTAAGAACAGGCAAAGGGTCGGGTGCAGTAGCACATGCCTGTAATCCCAGCACATGCTCAAGAGAATCCCAAATTCAAGGCCAGCCTTAGCAATGTAGCAAGACACTGTCTCAAAATAAAAAAAAAATAAAATAAAAAGGGCTGGGATGTAGCTCAGTGGAAGAGCAACACTGGTTCCATCCCCAGTACCAAAACATACAAATAAATGGGCAAAGGATATTCAAGACATTTCCCAAAAGAGGATATGTGAATGGTTAACAGGTTTATGAAAAATGCTTAAAATCACTAATCATTAAAGTAACACAAAACTATAATGAGATATCACCCCAAACCTGTTAGACTGGCATTATCAAAAAGACGAAAGACAACAAAAGGAAAAAATATAGAGAAAAGGAATCCCTTTGCAGGCTGTTGGTGGGAATGCAAATTAGTATTAGCTATTATGGAAAAATCATGGAGGCTCATAAAAAATTAAAAGTACAAGTGCCGGGAGCAGTGGCGCATGCCTGGAATCCCAGTGGCTCGGGAGACTAAGACAGGAAGATTGTGCGTTCAAAGCCAGTCTCACCAATGGCAAGCAACTCAGTGAGACTCTGTCTCTAAATAAAATACAAAATAGAGCTGGAGATGTGGCTCAGTGGTTAAGAGACCCTGAGTTCAATCCCCAGTACCAAAAAAAAAAGAAAGAAAGAAAGAAAAAATTAAAACTACAACTACCATATGATCCAGCAATTCCATTACTAAGTGTAAATCCAAAGGAAATGAAATCAGTATGCTGAAAAAGATCTATCTATACTATTATATTCGTTGCAGCATTATCCAAACAGTCAAAGTTATGAAATAAACCAAAGCATCCATCAATGGGTAAATGGATAAAGAAAATATGGCACATAGGTGCAATGGACAATACCATTCAGGCTTTAAAAAGGAAAGCCTCCCCTTGGCAGCAGCATGGATGAAACTGGGGGACATGATGTTAAGTGAAATAATCCAGGCACAGAAAGACAAATACTGCATGATCTTACTTATTTGTGGAATCTTAAAAAAGCTGAACTCGTGGAAAGAGAGAGGAGAATAGTCATTACCAGGGTGGTGGAATTGGGGGCGGGGCATGTTGAGGAAATATCAATCAAAAGGACACAGACTTTCAGTTAGGAGGAATAAGTTCATGATATCCATTGTACAACAAACATGCTGACTATCCTTAATAGTGATGTATTGTATTCTTAAAAGTTGCTAGGAATATATATATATATATATATATATATAGTGCGTGTGTGTGTGTGTGTGTGTGTGTTTACCAGGGATTGAACCCCAGGGGTGCTTAACCACTGAGTCACATCCCCAGTCCTTTTTATGTTTAATTTTCTTTATTTTTTTTTATTTTTTGGGGGGGCACTGGAGATTGAACTCAGGAGCACTCAACCACTGAGCCACATCCCCAGCCCTTTTTTGTATTTATTTAGAGATAGGGTCTCACTGAGTTGCTTAGGGCCTCATATTAAATTGCTGAGGCTGGTTTCAGCTCATAATCCTCCTGCCTCAGCCTCCCGATCTGCTGGGATTACAGGCATTTGCCACTGCATCCAGTTTATTTTTAATTTTTTTAATATCTTTATTTTATTTTTATGTGGTGCTGAGGATCGAACCCAGTGCCTCACACATGCCAGATGAGTGTGCTACCACTTGAGCCATATCCCAGCCCTTATTTTTAATTTTGAGACAGTGTCTCACTAAGTTGTTTAGGGTCTCATTTAAGTTGCTGAGGCTGGCCTCAAATTTGTGATCCTCCTGCCTCAGACTCTCAAGCTGCTGGGATTATAGGACTGCACCACCATACCCAGATTTGCTAGGAATTTTTAAGTATTCTCATTATAAAAATAGGTATGTAAAGTAACACATGTGTTAATCATCTCGATTTAGCTATTCTACAATGTATTATTATTATATTTCAAAACAATGTCTTGTACATGAAAACTATATACAACTTATCTGTCAATTCAGAAAATGAATTCCTATTAATAATCAAAGTATTAAAAATGCTTTGACAGCAAGTATTTGAATGTGGGGGGTTTCTATAACTTTATTATTAATTGACCTACTACTGGTCCTCTTTGCTTCTACTACATAGAAAATTTAATGTCAGGCTGGGGTTGTGGCTCAGTGGTAGAGCACTCACCTAGCACGTGTGAGGCCCTGGGTTCGGTCCTCAGCACCACATATAAATAAATAGAATAAAGGTCTATCAACAACTAAAAAAATGTTTAAAAAATAAAATAAAATAAATGGATGGAACCAGAGACTATCATGCTGTGTGAAATAAGCCAATCCCCCCAAACCAAAGGCTGAATGTTCTTTCTGATATGCAGATGCTGATTTACCATAAAGGAGGGGAGGGAACTAGAAGTTCATTGGATTAGACCAAGGAGAGTGAAGGGAAGGGAGGGGGATGGGAAAAGGAAAGACATAGAATTAATCTGACAGAACTTTCCCATGTTCATATATGAATACACCACCAGTGAAAGAAACTCTACATCATGCACAACCACAAGAATGGAATCCTAATTAGAACAAGTCATACTCCACGTATATATAATATGTCAAAATACACTCAACTGTCGTATACAACCAGAGATATGAAAAATTGTGCTGTGTATATGTAATAAGAATTGTAATGCATTCTGCTGTCAGATATAAAAATTACATAAAAAGAATAAACAAATAAAATTAAGTTATTTTAAAAAAAATTTTAAGTAAAAAGAACAAATTTAAATACAAAAAAAAAAGAAAAGAAAAAAAAGAAGATTCAGACGACATCCACCATTTTCTCCTTTCTCAAAAGAAAGATCCATTTTCCACTGGAGCAAGAAACAATTTCCAGTGCATTTACAGGTATAAGGTGGGGTAATAAATCACAGATCAAAGTCTGCACAAACTGCGAAGCATAGAGAGTCTTTCAGCTAAATGTAGTTAAAAGCTAAAGCGAAAGTGAAATATAAGTTCCAGAACTTGCATTTCCTCTGTGCCTGAAGACAGAAAAGGAATGTTTCCTTGGAAAACCACTTAATCAGACTGTCATGTTTCAGAAATCCTTATTTTTATAATAGCATCTCTGGGAAGGCTAGAAGGGCAATTCATACTGACAAACACTTCTTGTCTGCCTCCCTAACATGCCTTTCAGAAGGATAATGAGTTATAGCTAATAAATAGTTCCATGTCATGTGGCAAAATGGAAGTTAGACTTTATGGTACTTGAGTTTGACATCCTGAATTCTTTCTCTGTCTGTACCAGCCTCCTACTGGCTTCTGCTGAGACCTAACACAAACAAAGCTAGGTACCAAGCAACTTTCAGCAACATAGAATCAGTAAGCAATAAGGCGGGATGTTTTCTGCCATTCCCATTGTAAAAGAATGTCACTATTTTCGAATGTTTAAGAACTATTCATTCTAATTCTTCATTACTAGGGAAGTTGGTCCTTGTAGCTCATGCTTGGCTTCCTCAGATGGATAACCTACCAGAAACATCTAATCTCCAGGGCTGCTCATATCCTAAGTGCAGCTGTTGGAGTGCCTATAGCACCAAATGTGTAAGACAGGAGATTGAGAATAAAGTGACCCTTCACATAGCTGGCCCATAATCCACCACACATAGCACAGCTGCTATAGTTTAGATCTGGAATGTTCCCCCAAGGCCTATGTGTTAAAGGCTTGGTCCCCAGCCTCTGATGCTATTGGGAGGGAGGGAACCTTCAAGACGAGGGTTATAATGGGAGAAAGCTAGGTTATGGGGGTCATGCCATTGGAAGGGATATTGGGACCCTGATCCTTCCTGTCTCTCCTTTTTGCTTTCTGGTCGCCATGACATGAACAGGCCTTCTCCACCACAAGCTCCTGTCCTTGGTGTACTGCCTCACCACAGTTCCAGAAACAACCAGATCAATGAAACTGTGAACCAAAATAAACCTTCTTTTTAAAAAAGTTGATTATCTCAAGTATTTTGTCACAGCCACGAAAAGCTGATTAACATACAGCTCAACGTATAGAGCATGCCTTTGCATCTGTCCTCCCCAAAGCAAGTCTGAGTCTTCGGCCTTTCTTCTAAATGTGTCAGAGTAGGCCTGGCAGAGGACGATGATATGGATTAGAGAAGCTAGCTTCTTTTGGGTTCCCCAGTTTGGGTTCAGCAAACTCTGAGGTAAAGCGTCTTATGCAAGTGATTTATTAAGGAAGTGTTCCCTTGAGACATCAGTGAAGGGGTGGGAGAAGCAGGTACAATCTTGGGTACAATGGAAGGCAGTTTTGGTCTGAGGTGGCAGGGGTGCTCTGGGGAATAACTAACACTTTGGCATTTTTCTCTTTCTCAGTAAGGAAAGAAGGTTTGCAAGCTTCCTCACCTGTTGGTTACTGACTAAGAGTTGCCTCATGGCAGGGGTACAAAACCTCTCAGGAATAAATGACTATCTACGGGGGCAAAAGCTATAGTAGTCTGAGGCCAGGTTTCTAAAAAAGAGTTTCAGGTGGAAGCTGTAGAGTGTAATCTCCTAGAATAATTAGAAATCTGAAGGGATCTAGCAAAGGAATGATGGTTTATTCAGACAGTGAACACAATCAGAATTTTTACCTTCAGTAGCTCAGAGAGACCCAGAGAAGCTTCCTGCTTATGACAGAAAGGGAAATACCCTATGGTAATATGGAGGCGATTACCTTGAAAAACTGTGACCTTAGGTAGGTACAAAAGATGTCTTAAGAGAGCAAAATGTTTCAATCAATTCCAGAAAATTCACTGGAAAGATGCTGCTTTTATCTCCAAACTAATCTTCAAAGAGCCCCTATGTCTCCCTGCCCTCCTGTCCCAAGTACTGGGGATTGAACCCAGGGGTACTATACTACTGAGACACATCCCCAGCCTTTTTATTTTTTATTTTGAGATGGGTCTTGCTAAGTTGCTTAGGACCTCACTAAGTTGTCAAGGATGGCCACCAACTTGTGATCCTCAGCCTCCTAAATCTCTGGGGTTAAAGGTGTGCACCACCATACCTGGCTTTTACTCTTCCTTTGACTTAAAAGTTACTATAAATATAGAGAAACTCTAGTTGCTTAGAGTGAATCCAAGGATCTGTTGGTCTAGATTACAATATGACCTATTAAGGGCTGGGGTTGTCACTCTGTGGAAGAGCACTTGCCTAGCATGTGTCAGGCACTAGGTTTGAGTCTCAGCACCACATAAAAATAAACAATAAATAAAATCTTGACAACTAAAAAATATTTTAAAAAAAGAATATGACATACTATACTGGTGCTTCGTTTCTAGAAAATCAGCTCTAAGCTTGTTTTTCTTGAGTTATCTCAAGACCTAGGTTATGAATCTCAAATGTATGAATGTAGTAAACCAGATATTTTGGTTCACTTCCTCAAGTGAACTAACACAAGACTATTCTGTTTATGGTCTGTAGAGAATGCGAAACAGAGATAATGTTTTGAGATTGATCATGCTCCATAGGTTTGTTTTTTCCTATGTGAAAATGAAAATTTTCTCTTTTTATTTTATTTTTTGGTACTGGCAATTGAACCCAGGGATACTTTACAATTGAGCTACATCTCCAGCCCTTTGTATTTTTTTTTTTTTATTTTGAGACAGGGTCTTGCTAAATTGCTGAGGCTGCCCTCTGATTTACCATCCTCCTGCGTCAGCCTCCTGAGTCGCTGGGGTTACAGGCAGGCACCATCACACCTGACAGACTTCCTCATTCTAATAGGATCATATAATGTGTTCTTCATGGTTACCCACGAAGACCCTCAAATGATGAATGCATTTTTAGTAATAAAACTAATATATATATGGTTATACAGCTTGCATTATCAGACAATTTATATTGATGAAGTTTTCAGAACAATGGTATTACAATGTATATGATAATATTATTCCAAAATATGCTCAACTAATCTTTGTAGGTTATCACTAGATACCTGGAAGCCTTCAGATTCTTCAGGCCTATGACATTAATTTTGCTCAAACTTGCCAGACTGCATAACTGTTTGACTGATTTGGAAGTATTTCCTACCTTGGGCTGAAGCACAAACCACTCATCACATGGATTTTCAAAGTTCCATGAGTCAAAAGGAATCTCCACCTCTCCGAGGAAGCTGTTATGTCCAAATCGATCATAGTGCCAGACCGAGAGCTGCAGAGTTCTCGTTTCCAATTGGGTATGGCTGATGGTGTACTGCAAAGGAGATTTACAATATCACACTCCAAAAGGAGGGTTCTGTGCAGTTCCCAACAGGTTGACATTTACTTCCATCATCTTCAATTCACAGACATCAGAAATATGAACAAAACTAACACAAAGAAAACTTTCTTTGTTTTTGTGACAATTGAAGTTGTTTCATAAAAATCATTTTGCACCAGACCTGATGCTGAAGTATATATCAATAAATTATCTGGGGGGAAGGGCAATAAACTCCAAATATGGAATTAAAAAACATTAGGTGATAAAGCTTCTCCTCTGTCTAATTTTTACCTGATTTTCATTTGCCCATTTTTTCACATCTACTTTTTTTGAGGGGTGGGGGGTACTGGAGATTGAACTCAGGGGCACTTAACCACTATGCCACATCCTTAGCCCTATTTTGCATTTTATTTAGAGACAGGGTCTCACGAGTTGCTCAGTGCCTCGCTTTTGCTGAGGCTGGCTTTGAACTTGTGATCCTCCTGCCTCAGCCTCTGGAGCTGCTGGGATTACAGGCGTGTACCACTATGCCCAGCCGCTCACATCTACTTTGTAGTTCAAGGTTTAATATATCAATTCTCCAACTTCTGTGCTGTATTTATTCATAATGAAACCTCTTAAGTTCCCCAAAGTTGGGAGACATTATCATTCTTATTGACAACAAGAAGCTTGTAGACACCAAACTTCATAAAGCCTGGTCTAAATGCAGAGACGAAGATGAATACACAGTGAGCAGAAGGGACAGATTACTGGGCTAGCGTTTTCTTTTCCAGCAGAACGATAGAGAGGGCCCCATGCCCACACACCCTCCAACCTTCTGCTCATTCCATGAAATCACCATCTGGGCCACACTTCAGACTGATCTCTCTCTCTCTCTCTCTCTCTCTCTCTCTCTCTCTCTCTCTCTCTCTCTCTCTCTCGTGTGTGTGTGTGTGTGTGTGTGTGTGTGTGTGTGTGTGTGTGCGCGCGCGCACTGGGGATTGAAACTATATTTCCAGCCCTTTTCATTTCGAGACAGGGCCTTGCTAAGTTCCTTAGGGCCTTGCTAGGTTGCTGAGGCTGGCCTTGAACTTGTGATCCTCCTGCCTCACCCTCTTGAGTTGCTAGGATTGCAGGCGTGCACTACTGAGCTCAGCAAAACAGACTGATTTCTGATCTTGGATTTGTGTCAATTTCTGTCTTTGCTGTTACTGACATGATAAACTTTGGCTCCCTGCTTCCTGAATTTATTCTGCCATTATGTTTGGCCTTGTCTTTGTGACGTTGTTATGGCCACTGGTCTGTCTTGATATTGGCTCCTATTTCCAAACATGCCTTCACTAAACCATGTGGGCTCATGGCTTTTTGCCATCGCCAATTTCCTCAGATATTGGCTTTCTGACACCATCATTCTGAGTACAAGTCCATACATTTTCCTGGGATTGGCAATAACTTCTACATTTCTTTTTTTCTTTTTTGCACTGGGGATTGGACTAAGGGGCGCTAAACCACTGAGCCACATCCCCAGCCCTTTTTATTTTCAGACAGAGTCTTACTAAATTACTTAGGGCCTCGCTAAGTTGGTGAGGCTGGCTTTGAACTCATGATCCTCCTGCCTCAGCCTCGTGAGTCTCGGGGACTTTAGGCATGCACTACTATACCTGGCAACTTCTATGTACATTTTATTCTCACAAAATATTTCTTACCAGGTAAGATTGGCCCAGAGTGAAAGAAGGGGTTGTTGTATGGAAGTCAGTTAGAAATAGAAATATCTTTAGGATTAGGACCTGGGTCATATTTTATCTAGACCACTTTCTCTGACATTACTTAAATCTCACTCACTCTGCATCTCTACCAGTCATTAACCACACATCTAAATTTACTCAAATTCTGAAACCCTAACAAGAAACAATACATATCCATGCTGTTAGTGGAATAATGGATGTGTACAAAGTGACCTACTAAATAAGGGTCAAAATTGTGACAAACTTCATTTGGAAGGGCATCTGAAAAAGCAGTTTTCCCAAGGGTGAAATGCACTTTGTGACAAGATGGGATGATGTTCAGATGTAATTCTGTGGAATCAAGTCTACTGAAGGTGCAACTTTAGCAGCAGCAGAGAAATAAAAAAATTAAAAGTGATTTACATTTTTTTCTTTTCCAAGAACTGTTAGGAAGCTGGGCGCCGTGGCACACACCTGTAATCCCAGCACCTCGGGAGGCTGAGTCAAGAGGATCATGAGTTTGAAGCCAGGCTCAGCAATTTAGTGAGGTGCTAAGCAACTCAGTGAGACCCTGTCTCTAAACAAAATACAAAAAAGGGCTAGGGATGTGGCTCAGTAGTAAGTGCCCCTGAGTTCAATCCCTGGTCCCCGCCCCCCCCCCCCGCCAAAAAAAAAAAACCTGTTAGGAAAGCCAGGGTATTACAATCACTTATTCCAATTCCAATTTTCTAAAACATACATAAGTTTTTGAGTGGCTTGTTGTAATGGCCAATGTTTTGGCCATTCTTGACGAGAGATGATGCTAAGGTCTGCACCTGTATCCAGTAGCCCATTAAATTCATGTCCTTGAATATTTAGTTTTAGTATGGGGCGAGAATCTAAATTTAAAGAAAGCATAGCCCAATCTACACCTGTGGAGCCTAATCCCTTGGAACCTCTTTCTACAGTACGACTGGAAAATTTATCATGTAGGCTGGGTATTATTAGTAACTGTGCTATTCTATCTCCTGGTGAAATTACTGATATACCCTTTGGAGAACTGGCTATAATTTTTATTTCACCTTCATAATCGGGATCAATTACCCCAGGACTTATCATAAGTCCTTTTAGAGTAGAAGAGCTGCGTCCCAATAATAAGCCTACTGTTCCTTTGGGAAGAGGTCCTTTCAGCCCTGTGGGAATGATTTGAACTCCCATCTCTGGAGTTAGTACTGCTCTGGCGGAGGCGCAGATGTCCAACCCTGCGCTCCCTCTGGTTTGTCTGATGAGGGATCTGATGGACAATGTGTCCTGGGCACTACCCTGATGGGGTTGCTGGGTTCCTCCAGTGCTCCGTATATTTGTGGTTTTGGGCCCCGGAGCATTGGGCCCCCCTGTCCGTTTTTTGGCAATGGAGCCCGATGCCTTTCTCCACGATATCGTGGATAAACACCTGGTCCTTGTTCGTTTTTTGATAATGGAGTACCCTCTATGGTGGTTTGAGAACGGCATTCATTAGCCCAATGTCTCCCTCTACGGCAAGGGGCCCCAGCAAACTTCCAGCTGCCAGCAAGTTTTGACATGCAAATTAAACCAATGAGGTTGTGATCAATATCACATGAGTTTACTATGAGAATATTTACTTACCTTTAGTATTTCATTGAATTCTGGATTGGTGCCTGTTCTGATTTTGGTCTTGCGCTTATTGTTCCGGGACTTGTCAGGAAGAAGATATGACTTGACATAACTGTGGATAATAAAGGATGAAAGTAATCATTTGGAAACATCTATTTTGTAAGAAATGCTCAGAGACTTCAGTGAATAAAGGGCAATAGGTAAGTATAAGAGACAGAAGGAAAGAGAATGTAATGTATATATCAAGACACCTTAAAATATAACTCCGATTGGGCTGGGGATGTGGCTCCATGGTAGAGTGCTTGCCTGGCATGTTTGAGGCCCTGGTTCAGTCCCCACACTGTCAAACAAAACAAAAAGAAACAAACAGACAACTCTGGGCAGCTGGGCACAGTGGTCCACACCTGTAATCCCAGCAGCTAAGGAGGGTGAGGCAGGAGGATCAGAAGTTCAAAGCCAGCTTCAGCAACTTAGGGAGGCCCTAAGCAACTCAGAGAGACTCTGTCTCTGAACAAAAAAATAAAAATGGCTGGGGATGTGGCTCAGTGGTTAAACACTCCTGGGTTCAGTCCCTGGTACCAAAAAGACCAAAACAAACAAACAAACAAACAAAAATAACTCTGGGCCCTTAAAAAAAGAGAAGTAAATTCTAGTGGTAAAGATGGCAGATTCTGGAGTTAGACCCATTGATTTTGGATCACCCATGCTTCACTGGGTCTCAGTTTCTTCTAGTGTAAAACTGGGATGAGGAGCTGAGGCTATAGCTCAGTTGGTAGAGTGCTTGCCTTGCATGCACAAGGCCCTGGGTTCAATCCCCAGTACCATAAATAAATAAAATAAAACTGGGATGATAACAGTATGTAACTCATGGCATTGTGAAGATTAAATTAGTTGACACCTGCAAGGAGAAGACATATTGGACCACTCAATAAATGTAATCTGTTTTCATTATCAGTGTTCTCACAAATTTTCTAGGGTATAGGCCTCTCTATTCTTCATCCTGCCTTCTGATGTTGGGGAGTAGGGGTCAATGGTAATGAGTGATGAAAGAAAATAGTGAAAAAGGAGAAACAGAAAACAACAACCGGAAGTCATAAGAGCAATTGTACCCAACACCTTGGCTTGAACTATTTTTTGTGGCAGGGGCGTCATAGTAGACGTAGAAATGCGTGAGTTGCTGCCAGGGTTCTAAAGTATATCTGCTGGGGTTTTATATTTTATTTGTTTATTTTCTTTGCTGCTGGGTTTCAAACCCAAGGCTTCACGCATGCTCAGCAAGCAGTCTTCGCTGAGTCACAAACCCAGCTCCTGCTAGGGTTTTAGATGGCCCCCTTCCATGCTAGTCAAAATGATTATTATATTGGTCCTGGAACCCTCTGAAATTTAGTTAAGGGGGCAGATGGACCAATCTATAGTCAGAATCCAATCATCTGTCTACTTTAGGATACTTGGAACCAGTTTTATTGAGTTGTTCATTGGGCTTAGGTCATGTAATATGCAAAAAAAGAGTTAACATAGCAGGCCTGAGATTGCCATTCTTAGAAAAACTTGCTTGCAAGTTTTGCCCTTAGATGTCATTTGGGAACATGGATTTCAGGAGGGTTCCTACCATTCTTAGAACTGATAAAAGTCGCTCACTGGGCCTAAACTGTTTGTACAAACAATATAACTTATACTGAACATGTGTTTTCTTTCTGAGAGCCTAGAAATTTGGTACATGACCAGCTGAGCCTCTTAGAAGCTTCCCTGGTAGACATTTCACAAGAATTAAGAGCATCATGTGTGATTCCCTTGGAAGCTTGAGTCTGGTTTATTCAGGACTTTCCCTCTCACGTGTCTTTTCTCTTTATTGCTTATAACTACATGTACATTCCTGTGAGCCTTTCTAGTGAATCAATGAACCTGGCAGTTGTCATGGGGACCCCTGACTCATCTTTACATCGAGCTCCCCTCCAACATGTCATGCTTCATATTGGACCACTCAGGCTGATCCCTAGGATCCCCAGAGCCTCATTAATTGCCCTTCTGAGTTGTTAAATTGGGTAACAGCTTGGTAATTATGTCTGGAAGTTTTCCCAGAACAAAAATCAAGAGGATACTCTTGTACATCCTGGGTATGCCAACATGTTGGGCTTCTACCTCAAAGAGTGATCTCTGTGCAAAATACAAATTTGTCACTGCTGAATTATGTTGAGTAATGGCCTCTTAAAAATAAGGTAACCAGCTGGGACCCATGGCACACATCTCTAATCCCAGCAGCTCAGGAGGCTGAAGCAGAAGGATGAGGAGTTCAAAGCCAGCCTCAGCAAGTTAGTGAGACACTTAGCAACTCAGTGAAACCCTGTCTCTTAAAAAATATATATATAAAAAAAGGGCTGGGGATGTGGTTCAGTGGTTAGGCACCCCTGGGTTCAATCCTTAGTACCCCCCCCCCAAAAAAAAAATGAGGTAACCAAGGATGTGACCATTATATGTGTACTTCAGACAACATTTAGAAGGATGTATGGGAGGAAGGTCTCTGAGCATGCTCTGAATCCAAAGGAACACTTAGGCTCTTTGGAAACAGAAACACACATACACACAAAGTAGGTGGTACTTGGCATGGTCTGAGGAACATGCTATGTGCTTACGCATCTGTCCTCTGTTTCTTTTCATCTCCTATGGCCAGATTTCTGCAATTCTTGACATAAATGTAGAGCCCGCCAGTTTTGTAGCAGTAGCTGATGTGCAGAAGGATCTCGCCACTGACCTTCACGTTGCCATAGTCTCCTGTTTCACTGTAAACACTCATCATGCTGTTAAGGCTGGTCTGGAAAAAATAAAAGGAAAGAAGGCACCTGGTGTTATTGTAAGAATCTCTTCACAGAATCCAGCCCCTTCATGGATTACCATTCCTGTTCTTTAGAAGGAACAGGGAAGGGGGGCAGGCAGTAAGGGAAGAAAGCCAGCAGCTTGTTTTGCTGGTGGAGAAAAATCCCAGAGCAACAGACAACAGATCTTGTACCATTCATAAGGAAGGCAGGCAAGCCTTCCTTTCCCCAGGAAGGAAGCACTGCCTTTCCCCAGTTAACTAAACCTTTGGCTTATTCATGAGGAATTGTGAATGTCCCCTCTCCTCTACATCGCTGCAACTTTCTGCATTTTTACTGGCAGACTCAAGTTCAATGTGCTTCAAAGTCTGGAATACACTGAGCAGGACAAAGAAAAGCTCATCTCACATGCAGTGCTAGCAAAACTTCTTTCTCTGACATTCAACAAGGAGCATGCAGTCAGTTTCGGGGAGCCAGGGCAGGAACTTTAGCTTTAGCAAGGGCAGGAACTCATGCACTGATATCTGATTTGATTCCTCAAGTTACTCTGTGGCTATGTAGGAAGTGGCTTTGTAATTCTATGCAAAATAGCAATCCACAAACTATAACACTAACCAATAAAATCATAGCCCTACCAAATAATAAAATAAAAAATTCCCCAAAGGTCCAAATCTTCCAGAATAAACGAGGCTTTTGACACTAATGACATGAGGCCTATTTTTAATACATGCAACAAAATTATCCTTTAGTGCTAGAAGCAAAAACTATATCTTTGTAATGAAATGAAGATCCTTTCGAAATGAAAAGATCTTAATTGTTTTAGCTTCCAAACTTCCTCGTGCTGAGAATGGAAATTGAGAAATCCCCACCCCACCCCACCTGGGGTCCCCCACCCCCCAGATGCCAGTGAAGCCCAAACTGTGACTTGTTTTCTGGCTAACACAAGCCAGCTAAATCTATATATGTATATTTCCTGGCTTTTGTTTTGTTAAACTGTAACTGCTTCTATAGGACCTGCAGAGAAAGAAACCATGCAGCTGCTTCTCTCCAGTTTTAGCTAAAGACACTAAATTTGTTTTCTCCTTTGGGGTCCTTTGCTTTTTTCTCATGCTGGTGGGCAACTGAAATCTCACCAGCTGCAATCTATCTAGTAGATTCCTTGGCTTGGCTGCCAGTAACATTAACAAGACTTTCACATAGACCAGTGACATGCATGAATACCATAGAAGGCTTTCATGAATGATGGAATGATCCAGTAGTTTTCGTAAACCCTCTTCTGCAAACCACTGAAGACTATGGTAAATGCAAAGAGAGTTTAGGTTTTCTGTGTGTGTGTGTGTGTGTGTGTGTGTGTGTGTGAGAGAGAGAGAGAGAGAGAGAGAGAGAGAGAGAGAGAGAGAGAGAGAGAGAGAGACTGTTACAAAAGCCATTGTGTTCCTTCAATTGCTTAGAGTAGAGCTATTCAAACAATAGTATGTTTGTGACATTGCTCCTGTCTCTCTTCTAAGCTTAAGACAAGGGCAAAAGCAAATCAAGAATTGTGAAATTATTTGGAAACTACAGCTTAAAGAGAGAGAGAGAGTAACCAAATTTGTCTTTCTCATTCCTAAAACAAAGCGACAGAATGTACATGCATAGTAGGTGGCTTTCAGCAGTGCTTTTCAAACTTTCATTGATATAAATCACCTGGGGATTTTTTTTTTTTGGACTGAGATTGAACCCCAGGGTTCTTAACTACTGAGTAACACCCTCCAGTTCCTTTTATTTTATTTTTTAAAAAAACATTTTTAGACAGGGTCTGTCTAAGTTGTTTAGGGCCATGCTAAATTTCAGAGGTTGACCTTGAACTTGCAATCCTACTGACTCAGCCTCTGGAGCTGCTGGAATTACAGGCATGTGCCACTGTTCTGGCACCTGAGGATCTTTTAAAAATGAAGATTCTGACTAATGATGCAGTCTGGGTGGGGGTCTGAGATAATGCTTTTCCAACAAACACCTAGATCCAAAGTTCCCAAACAGTAAGTACCCTAGAACACAACAGCAAGTTCACAGAAGCATCAGAAAATATTTTAAAGAAAACACAGCATCATCTATCAGACACCACACAATATACTAACTAGTAGTTTCCAGTGTCACTGTTAAATCATAATACTTTTTTTCAATGGCTACGTGAAGTTGAACTTTTGGCAGTTTCTGCAACACAAAGCAAATATTTCATAAAAATGTGGAACGGGAAATGAAAGTGATGATGTCTAATCAGATTCCAAGATTTGAGAAACCATGTGAGGCTCAGCAGACACATATGTCCTAATCAGTAAGTAATTGGGGCTATTTAAGAATGGAGCCAAGATATTATTTTGCCTTCTATTGACCTCCATTATTTTTTCAAAATGGTTATTGTTAGTGCCCAAGTGATTATTAAGTTGTTTAGATCTAATGACGTAATAAATTGACTAGTCAGTTGTTGCTTTTGGTCTAGGAGAGCCATAAAAGTATTATCCAGACTCTTAGAGGCTTTGTGAACTGAAAAAGTTTTGGAGTCTATCCCAGTTTATATAAACTGGTCCATGGACCAGGCTTTGAGTACCAAGGGCTTCAAGAATAAGCCTCAAGAGGCTGGGGATGTGGTTCAGTGGTGGAGCGCTATGCCCAGCGTACACAAGGCTCTAGGTTCCATCCCCAGCACTGTAACAGTGGTCACATCACCTTTTGAATATAGCCCTTGCTGCTTATTTTAAAAAGGATGTGTTTTTATTTTCCACTTCTCCTTCTCCCCCTCCCTAACCTGGGGACGGGGAACAAGATTACCTTGAGATATCAGTCCTTCAAGAGAAGGAGATGTCAAATTAACAAGTGAATTTCATCAAAATATCAGGATATACCTGGAATGCAGCCTTTAAATAGCTTCTTTAAAAGGTCTGTGCTAGGGCTGGGGGTATAGCTCAGTTGGTAGAGTGCTTGCTCAGCACGCATGTAGGCCCTGTGTTCAATTCCCACCACCACATTAAGAAAAAGCTAGCTGTTTTCCCTAAAGAGCAAAACCACGACCTGGGAGTCCTCTGTGCCTCTCATTTGCTAGCAAAGCAATAAAACTTCTTTTTCCTTTTTCTCAAAGCCATGTCCTCTTAACTGGATTGACTTTGGGACAAGGACCAAGCTCCAGCTTTCAGCAACAGCACCACCAAAAAAAAAAAAAAAAAAAAAAAAAAAGCCTCAATTCTCTCATATCAATTCAATCAAGACTTAATTCCCACACATCTGGCTCACAAAAATTGTTGGCAGTGTCAAAACATTCAGAGAGGTTAGGTTTCTAGTCGGAGGCCCTTTCTAGTCGGAGGCACATTTAGGTATGTCCACACCTCATTATCTTCTTGTATGGCTGACTTGTGTCTTCACGTCCCTCTGTAGCCACATGGTCAAAGAGGAATCTCTGTAAGCAGGGGATCCCCACAGTATAGAAGAAAATCTAAGAACCCACAAATACTGAGGTTTGGGAGAATTTAAGGTAGTATGGCAATTTTACTCCTAGCCAAACTTGATGCTCTTTTTTTTTAATATTAATTTTTCAGTTTTCGGCGGACACAACATCTTTGTTCGTATGTGGTGCTGAGGATCGAACCTGGGCTGCACGCATGCCAGGCAAGCGCGCTACCGCTTGAGCCACATCCCCAGCCCCAAACTTGATGCTCTTAAGCAAGCCCAGGCTGTGACTATAAAGATGTTCACTCCAAAGACCTTGTTAATGATGAGTCATTATAGATTGTGTCTTTTTTTATGATACTGGGGGTTCAACCTAGGACTATGCTACCAATGAGCTACACCCCTAGCCCTTCTTTTTTTTTTTTTTTTTTTTTTTTTGGTACCGGAGATTAAACTCAGGGACACTTGACCACTGAGCCACATCCCCAGCCCTATTTTGTATTTTATTTAGAGACAGGGTCTCACTGAGTTGCTTAGGGCCTCGCTAAATTTCTGAGGCTGGATTCAAACTCATGATCTTCCTGTCTTAGCCTCCCAATCTGCTGGGATTACAGGCATGTGCCACAGAGCCTGGCTCCCAGCCTTTCTTATGTTTATTTTGAGACAAGGTCTTGCTAAGTTGCTTAGGTCCTCAGTAAATTGTCCAGGCTGGCCTCGAATGTGTGATTCTCCTGCCTCAGCCTCCTTAGTCACTAGTATACATGCATGCACCACCAACACTGACTTGGAGGTTTGCATGGTGACTTTTGACTAGCATCCAGATTCTAATGTTGAATGACTTGGAATACTTGAGTTCTCCTAACCTCATTCATCTTTTCAAAAGAGAATCTCTGGTTAATGGGACACAAATCAGAAAAAGATATATGCTGGAAGAATTGCCCACCAAATCATGTTTCCCGAACCATAGAATTTGTGAAGTACAGTTGGAAAGAAGGAAAAAGAAAGTTTGAAAACTTACAGTGTCTGAATCAGCATCAGGTACATTTAGGTAGGTCCACTTCCTGTCAGAGACTGCTTGAGCATTCTTTAAGACAGCCAATGATCAAAAGAAAAGGGAGATTAGAGCATAGAAGTCAGAGAAGCAAAGAAAAAGACTTACAGGCACACAGATTTAAAAAAAAAAGACACAGGGGCTCCTAAAACCTTCCTCTCAAGGAACACTTTGAACACTAAAGAATGGGCTTGATTCTGTAGGCACTGGGAAGCTGCACTAGAGACATCTGAGTGGTATATGGGTTTTTTTTTTTGTTTGTTTGTTTGTTTGTTTGTTGGTACCAGGAATTGAACTCAGGGACACTCGACCACTGAGCCCATCCCCAGCCCTATTTTGTATTTAATTTAGAGACAGGGTCTCACTGAGTGGCTTAGCACTTCGCTTTTGCTGAGGCTGGCTTTGAACTCACAAACCCCCTGCCTTAGCTTCCCCAGCCACTGGGATTACACGCGTGCACCACTGCGCCCAGCGCTGAGTGGTATGTTTTGCAAATTGACTGACAGTGGTGTGGAGGACAGTTGGGGAGTGCAGAGAATGGTGTCATGGAAACTTGCCAGCAGAGAACTAAAATCATTTATAAGCTTGAGCTAATTGGGCCTAAACTAGAAAATGGAGAGATTTTTAAAACTCCACACAAAATTGTACAAATTTATGGGGTAGTGTTTGAAAATTCAATACATGCACATGATATATAACGATCAAATAAGGGTAATTACATTTCCATCTCCTTAAACACATTATTTCTTTGTGTTGGGAACCTTCAAACTCTTCAGGCACTTTATAAAATGGGAATGAAGATAATTTTTTGAATTTTTTTTATTGTTTTGGTATTAGGGATTGAGCCCAGGGTCACTTTACCACTGAGCTATATACCCATCCCTTTTTATCTTTTATTTTGAGACAAGGTCTTGCTAAGTTGCTGAGGCTGGCCTCTAACTTGAGATTCTCCTGCCTCAGCCTCTAAAGCAACTTGGATTATATGTATGTGCCAACATAAAAGGCTAAGAATTAGGGGCTGAGGTTGTGGCTCAATGGTAGAGTGCTCACCTAGCATGCACGCACAAGGCACTGGGTTCAATCCTCAGCACCACATAAATGTAAAATAAAGATATTGTGTTCACCTAAAACTAAAAAATAAATATTTTTTAAAAAAGGCTAAGAATTAAGAGATTTTAAAGCCTGGGCAAGAAACATGGAAGGAACCAGGAGCCTTAGATAAAGCCCTCATAAAGTTAGACTAAATAGTACTCTGTGGGCAAAGGATAAGTAGGAATCTACAATGACTTTTAATTCAGTCTCACACATTTTCTCAAGAACATTCATTTCTTCTTTGGAAATGCACCGAAAATTAACAAGAGAAAGAAGAAAATTTCTGTGTGTGCTAGAGAACTGCTTACGGTTGACAGGCCACCTGCCAGACTATGGGTGTTTGCAGAAAACTGGGAGGATGCTAAGTCAACGCCTTCAGTGTCTTCCAAGGAGATCTAAAAAAGGAGGAGAGAAAATCAGTGGTTTCATTCATTTCTTTCCTAGAAACTGTTTTAACTGAAACACAACTTTCTTTCATAAATATCTGAAAATCAGATTAAAATATCTAGAAATCATCCCATTCCTAGGACACCCCCCCCCCAGTCAAATTGAATTACAGCAATGGAGGAGTAGACAGGGGCTGGAGGTGGAGGACAGGGTCTCTTTTCTAATAGTGTTTGCAAATTTGGAATCATACAGACTTGGGTTCAATTCCTACTTCCCCAGCCTCTAAGAAGATTCCCTTTGGGGAACATACTTATTTTTAATTTTAAAATAATTTTGGGCCAGTAACTCAGGAGGCTGAGGCAGGAGGACCACAAGTTCAAGGTCAACCTCAGCAACTTAGAAAGGCCCTAAGTAACTTAGTGAGACCCTGCTCAAAATAAAAAATAAAAAGGGCTCCGGATGAAGCTCAGTACAAAAAAAGGAGGAGGAGGAGGACAATAATAATTATTATTATTATTTGGGGTTTGTGATTGCTTATGCCATTACTGCACTGTACTGACTATTATCTTTGCATAGTGAATTTTGAAATCTATTAGTATAAATCTTCCAACTTTACTCTTCAAATTTGAAAATTTTATTTCTGGGATCTTAGAATTTTCATAAAAACTTTAAATCATCATGTCCATTTCCACAAAACATACTACCTGGATTTTCATTTGTATTAAATCTACAGATTCATTTGGAGAGAAATTTCATCTCAAAAATAGTAATTTTTTTAATCAAGGAACATAGAATATGTCTCTATTTATTTAGATCTTTAATTTGGTGCAGCAACATTTTTGTAAATTTCAATGTACACATCTCACACTTTTCAAAATAAATTAATTCCTAAGTCTTTCTTTAATATTTTTCATGCCATTGTGAATGGAATTATATTTTTAAATTCATTGTCCAATTGTTCATTTCTCCTCTTTTAATTTTTTTTTTTTGAGACAGGGTATGGCTAAATTGCTGAGGCTGGCCTCAAACTTGCAATCCTCTTGCCTCTGCCTCCTGCTCCTGACTTGCTAGGATTCAGGTATATACCACCACATGTGGCTCCAGTTTTTCATTTCAAGTATATAAAATACAATTGACTTTTGTGCATTGATTTAATATCCTTCAACTTTATTGAACTGATTAGTTCTAGTCATATTTTTGCATATGTTTTAGGATTTGCAATACACAAAAAGTATATCATCTTCAGGCAAGGAAGATAATTACTTCCTTCTTTCCAATGAGATATCTTCTTTTTTTTTTAAAGAGAAAGAGAGAGAGAGAGAGAGAGAGAGAGAGAGAGAGAGAGAGAGTGTGTGTGTGTGTGAGAGAGAGAGAGAGAGAGAATTTTAATATTTATTTTTTAGTTTTCGGCGGACACAACATCTTTGTTTGTATGTGGTGCTGAGGATCGAACCCGGGCCACACGCATGCCAGGCAAAAGCGCTACCGCTTGAGCCACATCCCCAGCCCGAGATATCTTCTTTTCCATTTTCCTTTTCTATTCTTTTCTTTCTCCCTTCTTTACTGTAATAGCTAAAATCTCTTTCCTATACAATGTTGAATAGAAGTAGTACAAACAGAAATCCTTATTTTGACCAGGCATGGTGATGTAAGCCCAGTGGCTCAGGAGGCTGAGACAGGAGGATGGTGAATTCAAAACCAGCCTCAGCAACTTGGTGAAGCCCCCAAGTAACTTGGTGACACCCTGTCTCTAGCTAAAATATAAAAAGGGCTGGGATATAGCTCAGTTGTTAAACATCCCTGGGTCAATCCCTGGTAGAGAGAGAGAGAGAGAGAGAGAGAGAGAGAGAGAGAGAGAGAGAGAGAGGGGGGGAGGGAGGGAGGGAGGGAGTGGGGAGGCTGGGAGGAGAGGGAAGGGAAGGGAGGGGAAGGACAGAAGAAAAGAATCCTTGCTTTGTTCCTCCACTTAGGTAGGAAGAACTTGGCCCCTTTTGCCATTAAGTATGATGTTAAGTTGTAGTAACTTTGTAGATGTTCTTTACTAGACTGAGGAAATTCCCTCTATTTCTAAATTGTTGACAATGGATGTTGGATTTTGTTAATCAATTTTACTGCACCTACTAATCACTACTAGGTGATGTGGCTATTACATTAATTTTATTTATTTATTCTTTAGTACTGGGAATTGAACCCAGGGGTGCTTTACCACTGAATTACATCCCCAGTACTTAATTTTTTTTTTTTTTTTTTGAGGCAGGCCTGAAACTTGGGATTCTCCTGGCTGAGACAATTACACTTGGTGCATTAATTTGTTTTTGAGTGCTAAATCAATCCTGCATACCTGGAATAAATCCTACTTTGTTATGGTATATGATTCTCTTTTGTTACTGGACTTAATTTATTAATACTTCATTAAGGACTTTGTGTGTGTGTGTGAGAGAGATACTGGGATCCGACCCAGTGGTGCTTTACCACTTGAGCCACATCCCCAGCCCTTTTCAAAATTTTGAAACAGGTTTTCACCAAGTTGCTTAGGGCCTTGCTAAGTGGATGAGGCTGGCCTTGAACTTGTGATATTCCTGCTGCAGCCTCCAAAGTCCCTGGGATTACAGGTATGTGCTGCCACACCTGGCTTTATTAAGGATTTTTGCATCTATATTCATAATGGATATTGGATGCCCCATTGGCTTGGGAGGCTGAGGCAGGAGGATTATGAGTTCAAAAACCAGCCTCAGCAATGGTGAGGTGCTAAGCAACTCAGTGAGACCCTGTGTCTAAATAAAATGCAAAATTGTGCTGGGGATGTGGCTCAGTGGTCAGTGCCCCTGAGTTCAATACCTGGCAAACCCCACCCCTCCAAAAAAAGACATAATGGATATTGATTGGTCTGTAGCTCACTCACCTGAGATCTCTCTCTCTCTCTCTCTCTCTCTCTCTCTCTCTCTCTCTCTCTCTCTCTCTCTCTCTCTCTCTCTCTCCTTTTGTACCAGGGATTTAACCCAGGGGCACTTAACCACTGAGCCACATCCCCAACCCATTTTATTTTTTATTTTGAGACAGGGTTTCACTAAGTTGCTTAGGATCTCACTAGGTTGCTGAGGCTGGCTTTGAATTTGAAACCCTCCTGCCTCAGCCTCCCAAGTTTCTGGGATTACAGGCATGCACCACCACACTCAGCTGTTTTCTTTTTTATGATGTCTTTGTCTAGGTTTGCTATAAGTATAATACAGACCTAATAAAATTAGTTCAGAAATATTTCTTCCTTCATTTTTTGAACAAATTTGTGAATTGTTAGAATTACTTCTTCTTCAAATACTTGATGGAGTTCATTAGTGAAGCCATCTGTGCCTTGGGTTTTCTTTGAGAAATTTTAAGGTTGGCCTAAAGCTTCCTCCATACATATTTTAAGTTTGGCTTTAATTTCTCCAAACAGTGAACTGCAACTGAACATGATATGTAAATAGAATGCAACCTATTCTTGTAAAAGTAGACACCTATGGCCAATCACAAACAGCCGACTGTTCAAATCACATTTAAATAAGATAGACTTGAATTGTGACCAATTAGGCTGTCTCTATACCTTATTTCCATCTTCTATATGTCACTTCCTTTTCTCTGCCTATAAGTATAACCTGCCCATGTGGTAAGGCATACCAAACCACTTTTGGTTCACACTGCTAGCAGATTCTAGAATTGCAAATAATGCCAATAAAGGTCCACAAAGCTAGATTTGTGGTCTTTTTTTCTTTTAATAAATAAGGCTTAAATTATTAATTCAGAGTAGAGGAAAGGTACCAGGGGAAGGAGGAGGGGAGGGAAAGGAAAAATATTGGGGAATTATATTGACTACATTATATTGCTGTATTGTGTGCATGTTTAAATATGTAACAACAAATCCCATCATTATGTACAATAATACACCAATAAAAATATGGAAAAAAAGAAATGTACATGGGCAAAAAAATAATAAATTATTAATTCAATATCTTTACTTATTACAGATCTACTCACATTTTCTACTTTCTGAGGTATTTCTGGTACTTTGCGTCTTCCTAAAGATGTAACTATTTCATCTAAGCTGCCAATTGTGTTGGCATACAGTTGTTCACAGTATGACCTTATAATCATTAACATTTTTGTTATATGGGCAGTTGTATCCCCTTGTTTATTTCTCCTTTTGTAATTTGTGTCTTCTCACCTTTTTTCTTGGCTACTCTTGCCTACTTTAACTCACTGGTTTTCATCTGAGATGGATTTGTCCCCTCTGGGATATTTGGTAATGTCTGGGGATATTTTGAGGGCACAGTTGGTGGAGAGTTTTTGGTGCCTAGGTAAAGATCAGGGATACTTCCAAACATACTACTTTACACAAAAAAGAATTCCTCCCACTCCAACAAAAAATTATACAGTCAGAAATATCAATAGTGCCAAGATTGAGAAATCCTGGCTAGGAAAATCCTAGTTTGTCAATATGGTTGATCTCCTCAAAGAACCAATATTTATTTGCCTTCATGTATTGTAACAACTCTGGATTCTGAGGGTTGCTACTGTTGCTTGTTTCTATATGCTTGATTTTTAGTTTGTAGGTTTAGCATCTTGCCTGAACTCATCTGTAGAATCTGTTTTCTGTCCCATGTGTCTGCTGATGTCTCTGCTCAGTTTTTACTTTTAACAAACTTCCTATGATTCATCTCTGTGTATGCAGAATTTAATGGTAAGTTAATGATTGTGAAGATATTGTGCTCAAACACCTCCAGCCAGTGACCCTTCATCCTCATTTCAGTGGATCTGTGTGTTGTTTTTAGAATGTATCAAAATCAGTCACCTTTTAAGTCACCCGCAGCTGTTACTTCCCTAGGGCTTTCTCGCATGTGCTCAGGTTTATGATCAGCCAGGGATGTTTGCATAGCTTATACCCATCAGCTTTTCCCTCCCCCCAATCCTCCACATGAATGTTTAGAGTGCTTATCAAGGCCATATATGACTTTCTTGTTGATTGATTTCCTATTACATTTCTGGCTAGTTCAGGGATCTATTGCTTACCCCAACCAGGGCTATAAACTCAGAGTAGCTGAGCTATTGGTCTTCTAAAATTCTCTTGTTACTTCTAGTACCTTATTTATTTATTCATTTATTTTAGTTGTAGATGGACACAATACCTTTATTTTATTTTATTTTTATGTGGTGCTGAGGATCGAACCCAGTGCTTCACACAAGCTAGGCAAATGCTCTACCACTGAGCCACAACCCCAACCTGAATCCTAGTAGCTTTTAGTCACTAAACCACATAGGGTTTTTTGATCAGGCAAGCATATTATTAGCAAAATGTGTAATTTAATATCTTATTTAATATTTATAAAGGTCATTTTATTTTCTTATTGCACTTTTCAGAACCTTTAGAACAATGTTCACTAATAATAGCAACAGTGAGAATCCCCTTTTCTCATTTTAATGAAAATAGCTCCTTCACATCAATATTTAAAGTGAAATATGTTGTGGCCTTTTATATATTTAGTATCTGAGAAATCATATTCAAGTTAGTTTTTTTATTAAATAAGGCTGTAGAATTTTGCCAAAAATTTTGCCAAAAATCTTTTGATTTAGTTTTGTATGTTCTTCTTCTTCTTCTTCTTCTTTTTTTTTTGGTGGTGGTGCTGGGGATTGAACCCAGGGCCTTACTCCTTACTCCACCAACTGAGCTATATCCCTGGCCCTGTTCTTAAATATAGTGACAATGTTACCAGATTTCTTATATACATTAATTCTTTAACTCATACCTAGAATAAAACTTACTCTTATTGCAATATTTTTTGATTCACTGCTGTTTTACTTGATATTATATTTCAAGTTTTATATAAATATATATAAATATATAAATATTATATTTAAATTATATACATACATATACACACATTCATGTAAAAATATATACATACATACATACATACATACACATATATATTTTTTGGTACTGGGGATTGAACCCAGGGGCACTTAACCATGGAGACACATCCTCAGCACTTTTTAAAAAAAAATATATGTTTTTTTAGTTGTTGATGGACCTTTATTTTATTTGTTTATTTATTTTATATGCAATGCTGAAATTGAACCTAGTGCCTCACACATGCTACGCAAGTGTTCTACCACTGAGCTATAGTCGCAGCCCCTCAGCCCTTTTTTATATTTTATTAGCGAGAGAGTTTCACTGAGTTGCTTAAGGCCTTGCTAAGTTGCTGAGGCTGGCTTTCAACTGGAGATCCTCCTGTCTCAGCCTCCAAGCTTCTGGGATTATAGGCGTGCACCACTGTGCCCGGCTAAGTTTAGTATATATTTTCATAAACCAGTTTGAATACGATGTTAGTTTTTAAACAATTTTTAAAATCAAGTTTAACTTTAGAAGTTAACTGGCTGGCTTCATACTATGAATTTGAAGATTTTCATAGTTTTCTAAGGACAGGAATAGTTTAATAACATTTGAGTTAGCAGTTCTTTAAAGGTAAGCAGTTCTTTAAAAGTAAGTCTTGGAATCATTGGATCCCATTGCATACCTTCTTCTTTTTTTTTTTTTAAGAGAAAGAATTTTTTAATATTTATTTTTTTTCGGTGGACACAACATCTTTATTTTATTTTTATGTGGTGCTGAGGATCAACCCAGTGCCCCATGCATGCCAGGCAAGCGTGCCACGGCTTGAGCCACATCCCCAGCCCAAATACTTTCTTTATTCTAGTGGATTTTAAAGTACTTTCCCAGTTTTTTATGCTGCAGTAAATAATATTTAGTTCCAGAGCTCTAAGTTTCCTGGCTTGCTTTGGAAAAACTATTAATATCAATTAACATTTGTGCTACATCTTTCTTCTAAGGAGTTCAAATTTCATTATGGCAGTTACAGAAATCAGAATATCAGAATATTAGAGTGGGAAGTAATCTTAACAATAATCAAATTTAACCTTCTCATTTTATAATTGAGTGCACTGGAACATTAATTCTCACATAATTTAGTCTCAGGAAGGCAGCTTATTGGGGACAACTTGATATATAAAAAAGGGTCATGTAAAATATATAGTCAGAAAGTAATATTTGGTTTAGAAAATGCCAAGATCCCTTAGATCCAAGGTTTAGACGAACTGATGAGCCTTTAGCCAGGAATGGAAATAAATCTCTTGACAGATACTTTGCTAGAGATAATCTATCATTAATCTGATTAGTTGCTTTTTATAAATAATTCTTTTAGTTACTCCTTTTTTTTTTTTTTTTTGGTACTGGGATTGAACCCAGGGATGCTTAACCACTGAGCCACATCCCTAGTCCTTTTTATTTTTATTTAGAGACAGGGTCTCCCCAAGTTGCTTAGGGCCTTGCTAAGTTGCTGAGGCTGACTTTGAACTCACAATCCTCCTGGCTCAGCCTCCTGAGCTGCTGGGATTACAGGCATGTGCCGCCACCACACCTGGTTTAGTAGCACTTATTATGTTAAGACTAACAAGAAGAGATAACTTAGATAACTAAGTTCCTTTAGGTAACTCATCATCACCTAAAAGTGGAACTACTTGGAGCAAGACCATGACCTTCTTTTGTCATATCTTGGACTCTTACACATCCAACTTACCAAGTCTTTGTCTAAAGTCCCAGGGACCGATCTGCTTCTTATGCTTACAGTATCTTCTAAGTCTTCTGTAAATGATTCACTCAAATCTAACTCAGATCGACTCCGGTCTGGAGAGAGAAAAAGAAAAAAGTAAGTATATCTTCTTACTTTGGAGATAAATTCTTATTTTTCATTGCAAATTTTTCCTCCTTATTTCAATTCTTTTTAGGCACAGATCATGGATAGTCATGCTAACAGCCAGAATCAATAACTTCACGCAGTTTATGTTAAAATACTTCCATTTACAATAATCTTCTGCTTTACTCCTAGAATTTAAAAAAAAATCTCATAGATTGGGTCTTTAAACTTGGAAAATAATAATTAATAATTAATCTTTTTAATTTTGTTTTCCATAGTACAAAACAAAATTGAACCCAGGGGTGTATAACCACTGAGCCATATCACCAACCCTTTTTAGTTTAATTTTTTTTGTGGGGGGGGGGGGTGCTAGGGATTGAACCCAGGGCCTTGTGCATGCAAGGCAAGCACTCTACCAACTGAGCTATTCTCCAGGCCCCTTTTTACTCTTAATTTTGAGACATGGTCTCATTAAGTTGCTTAAGGCTTCATTAAGTTGTTGATGCTGGCCTCGAATTTGCAGTCCTCCTGCCTCAGTCTCCTGAGTAGCTGGTATTACAGGCATGTACCACTGTACCTGGTGAACATTAAGCATTCTTGATTTCAATATTTAGAGAATTTACTGTACTTTCATATTTGACATAAAATACAAGTCGACCAATTTTAAATATCCACTTTCAAATGATATACCAAGTTCCTTTCACATAAAAAGGGAGTGACTACCAATCACTGAAAGGAAGTTCACTAGGCACCAGAACATTCTTCCATCAATAAAAAATCTTTTTATTTTTTTTGGGGGGGTGCCAGGGATTGAACTCATGGAACACTGTATTTTGTATTTTATTTAGAGACAGGTTCTCACTAAGTTGTTTAGCACCTTGCCATTGCTGAGGCTGATTTTGAACTTGCAATGCTCTGACCTCAGCCTCCCAAGCTGCTGGGATTACAGGCGTGTGCCACTATGTCCAGCAACAGATAACTTTTTAATGTTGAAGACTTCATTATGAAATCAGTTCTATATATGGACCTAAACTTCATAATTATGACAAATTTCTCTAGAGTTTCCTCATTCATAGGTAAAAATATTTGCAACATAAATAATACCTGATTCACTGGATTGCTGTAATCATGAACTAAAATGATATGTGCGAATGTGCCATACAAACAAAAATGGTTATTATTAATACCTTAATGCAGCTTGCAAACAAGCTCCTTCATTAAACCATGCAGTGGTTTATCTGGATATAGGGAACTTTGGTGCACCATATCAGTTGAACGACAATTTCCTTGCACTCTGGGCAAGTGTTATGTATCATAGCAAACATATTCTGGAACCATTTATATTTCCTATACTTCTATACTGATACTCTAATATAGCTCTAAAACTTGAAGATGATGCCTAACAACAGTATGCACTCAATAAATAGATTTGCACTTGGGACCACCTTCAAGCAGTTCTCACACAGGGAGCCTACTACCATAGGTACAAGATTTGGCAACTGTTTTCTGAGGCAGAAAACATACACATGGTATAACATAAAGCAGCCAATTCCATCTGATTGGGTCATTTTTTTTTTTTAACAACAGAGTAGTCATGTTGTAACTACCCACCTGAGGAGAGGGAAGTCCCAGACACTTCAATGGAAGGCGTGCCTGAAGTGTTTCTGCGGTGACTCTTTGTAAGCTCCTCAGAGGTGCTTTCAATGGCAGCCAAACCCATGGAATGTTCAAAACCACGCTCCTTCCAACAAGGTAGAAATGAAGAAAGGAGTATTATACTGACCGTAGTTTAAAATCCCTCTATAGAAATAAACATCCTTCATTATAAACACATTTGTGCATGTTCCTTTTTAAGAGAAGTGAATTGACATTTGAAGGACCTTTGTCAGAAAACCATGTGATTCCTAAACTTGCTATCAATAATTGCTATCGAAAATCGATTTCCAGAAATTTATTATTTAACACAAAAGGTAGTTTGAGTAATTTTTCATTCACAAAATGAGTGTTTTAAAATATGGTTAGTACAATGGTAAAGGTAACTTCAATGCTATATAAAGTAATTTTAAGAATCTGGCAAGTGTTATACCCTCAGAATAGCACTTGGACTTAGAAATGTATTTGGTCTTATGTTTACCCCACTCTCAACATCCCCTCTCCTCAATCACCTGATATAGTTTGAATTTAGAATGTCTTCTATTCTAAATTGGAGGCTTTGTCCTTAGCTTGGTGCCATTGGTAAGTGGTGGAAAGCATTTGGATGTTGGGCCGAGTCAGAGGTTTTAGGTTATTGGGTGAGTATCCTTGAAGGGAATTGTGGAATGCTGGTCTATTTCTGTCATTCTTTCAGTTCTTGGGTACCATGTTGTGCTGCCTTACCACAGGCCCAAAAGTAATGTGTCATCCTGACCATGGTCTGAAACCACCAAAATCGTGAACACAAATAAACCTTTATTCTTTTAGGGAGGTACTGGGGATTGAATCCAGGGGTGCTTTACCACCACTGAGTTATATACTGAGTCCTTTTTTTTTTTTTTTTTGAGACAGGGTTTTGCTAAATTCCCCAGACTAGCCTCAAAATTGGTGTTCTTCCTGCTTTAGCCTCTCAAGTCTCTGGAATTACAGGCATATGCCACTGTTTCAGGCAATCTTTCCTCTTTTAACATTGATTTTCCCCTAGTATTTGTTAAAGTTAAAGAAAGCTAACTAACACGTTATCTCCTCTGTCCCCATTTAATAGGAGACCATGCCACCTTTTCTATCTGGAAGGTTGAGTGATCAGAATATGGCTGGTTATTTCTACATTAGAACTAAAGTTTCATGCATGGTGCTTTTCCATGCTCATGAGTGGGAACTTCCCTAGCTTATAGGAATAAGTGAGGGGTGTGTGTGGAGGGGGTGTAATAAAATAAATATTTTTACATGTGGCAGACTTCAGTCTGAGATGGGCTTTCAAGTAACATATGATAAAGGAAACCTGTGTCCCAACTTTGTCCATGCCCATAGAAGCTTGACTACTATATCACCCCAAGCTTGTGTGACTAGTAAAAACAAACAAACAAACAAAAATGTTCCTTTTGTGAATTGAGCTTAAGGTTAAATATCCATGCTGGTGGTATCATGGTGTGATAATGATCAAATCTGAAAAAGACTTTACAATTCTTCCTTCTGTAAACAATCAAAAATTGCCTTTCAAAGTCTTACAGGATGGGGGCTGATGTAGCTCAGTGATAGAATGCTTTAGCAGCATGTGCTGAGGCCCTGGGTTCAGTCCCCAGTACTACAATAAATAAATAAAGGATTTCTGTCAAAGGTCAAAGTCTTATAGGATGGAATTCCCTTTTTGTTGCCTTCATCTTAGACATTCAGACATACTTAGATAAACTCACTCCTTAGAGATATGACTCTCAGTTGCTTAGCATACTAAATAATTCAGCTGCAATAAAGACTGGTCTTAATCTTTCATTATTTTCCAATAGCTAAGACCTGTAATAGGAAGTTTATAGCTCTTAAGTTCTCTAAATGTCATAGACCAACGTGGTTTGTCAAAAGCATGACAGAGGTCAAATAGACAATTTAGTTTAGGTAAGTTTTTGACACTGCCTCAAGAAGTTCTTCACATGCAGAGCACTGTAATGAATCAAGACCAAGTTCCTTACAGGCAATTATGATGATGACAATACTGCTAATATTGAGCACTAATAGGCCAATTAATATTATACAGTCATTAACATGCAATACGTGCCCTGGAATTTCCAGATGTCAAACCTAAAATTAACAGATTACATCATAGCAGAGGACAGTTTAGAGACTATCATGTTGTACAAGTTCTCCACTCAAAAAATTACTTCATACATGCTAAAACAGAAAAGAACATTGAAACAGAGATGCTAAGAAATAGGAGAAATTGAGAAGATGTGACCTCGCTCACCATTTAACTCTATATACCTCTTCCCTTCATTGTGAAAAAGCAAATGTGATTCTTGAACTATGATGCTGTCTTATTTTTATCCCACAGGCAATATTTCTCTTTGTCTCTCTTTTTCTCTTAGAAAACACCAGTTTAGACCAGCTAGAATTCAAGAGATCTACATAGGCACTGCCTATGTATATGTAAATGGACTCAAGTCAATTGCAGGGAATTTCTGTTGACAGGTGATTTATTATTATTATTATTATTATTATTATTATTATTATTATTATTATTATTATTATTTGGTACCAGGCATTGACCCAGGGGCGTTTAACCACTCAGCCACATCCCCAGCCCTTTTTATTTTTTATTTTGAGACGGGGTCTCACTAAGTTGTTAGGGCCCCACTAAGTCACTGAGGTTGGCTTTGAACTTGCCATCTTCTTGCCTCAGCCTCCCAAAATGCTGAGATTACAGGTGTGCGCCATCACGACTGGCTTGACAGGTGATTGTTGCTTCCTAATCATCTGAAAGGGCTGGCCCTTAGGAAGATAATCTATATATCTATATATCTATCTTTTTTTTTCTGTACTAGGGATTAAATTCAGGGGTGCTTTACCACTGAGCTACCTTCCCAGTCCTTTTTAATTTGAGACGGGGTCTTGCTAATCTTCCTAGGCTGGCCTCAAATTTGTGATTCTTCTTCTTCAACCTCCCAAATTACCAGAATTATAGATGTGCACCACTGTGCCTGGCCAATAATCCTTATTTTGAGAAAAACTTGATTATTATTATTATTTGGTTATTGGACTGATAGGTGCTACCCAGTGGCACAGCTGCACCAGCTGCTAAAATTTTTAAAATACTTTTGTATTAGTTGCTGAACAGAACTACTCCTCATCTACCTCCCCTTCCCCATGTTTCCCGTTATCCACAGGTCTCCCCATAATCCAGGTTAATGAGTAGCATGGAAGGGACCCCAGGATACTGTCCCAGCCAGTATTTATTCTGATTACTCAGTGTCCCTGCCATACCAGTTACTAAATATTTTGCATATCATTCCTTGTTAGGTCACAAAGAAATAAGCATAATCAACAACTATCTGTGTACTTTTCTGACTACTGAACATAATCAGCTTGCTGAGCTTAGCATAAATGTTTATGAAATTTAAAATATGCCTTTTATCTTAGCAAGTACAACCTAGACTGTAAGTGTTTAAACAAATCTATTATTGTTATTAAATCAGTCTGAATGCCTTTTGGCTCTTCCTTAAAATTATTTATAGAATCTGATTGCTCACCGCCTCCACTGTTATTTCCCTTTTACAAAGCCCAGTCTCTTGCCTAGAATATGACAATGGCCTCCCAATTGGTCTCCTGGCTTCCACTCTTATTGCCCTGCAGTTGCTTCTCAACAGTTCCCAGATCCTGCTTAAACAGAAGGCAGATCCTATCACTCCTCTGCCTCAAACCCTCCAGCTTCCCCCATCTTAACCGGAGTAAATGTCAAAGTACATGCAGTAGTTTTCGGGTCCTATTTGGCCTATGATCTCTTTGAATTCATTTCCTAGTACCTTCCCCTTCATTTACTAGCAATAGCTACAATGTCTACTTGGATCCTTCTTGAATGTGCTAGGTGTATAGCCCCTCAGGGTCTTTGCACTTGCTTTTCTTCATGAGGCATTAAAAATATTTTAGAAACTGGTTGAGCCAGGTACAGTGTTGCCCGCCTGTAATCCCAGCAGCTCAGGAGGCTGAGACAGGAGGATGGTGAGTTCAAAGCCAGCCTCATCAAAAGTGAGGCACTAAGCAACACAGTGAGACCCTGTCTCTAAATAAAATACAAAATAGGGCTGGGGATGTGGCTCAGTAGTTGAGTGTCCGTGAGTTCAATCCCCAGTACCAAATAAACAAACAAAAGAAACTGGTTGAACAAGTCACTGACCATACAAGATGGAGGCTAGCTGAAGGTAAGTGAAGCTGCTTTCCCCAGGTGTGCCTGCCAAATGTCATCACTGTCTCTGCCTGGAGGACACCTAGACCCGAATATTTTACTTCCTTCAAGTCTTTGCTTGACTGGTGCCTGTCATATACTAAAACCTCCATTAAATATTGGCTAAGTCAAAGAATTGTGGTTCATATATAATGGTTTCTTATATATACATGCCAGCAATCTATATTGAGTTTGTTATTTAATTAAAAAAATATATCAGCTGGTGCACGCCTGTAATCCTATCAACTCAGAAGATAGAGGCAGGAGGATCACAAATTCAAGGCCAGCTTCAGCAACATAGCAAGACCCTGCCTCAAAATAAAAACTAAAAAAGACTGGGGCTATATAGCTCAGTGGTAGAGTACCCCCGGGATTCAATCCCCAGTACCAAAATAATTTTAATAAATGCAGTAGATGCTAATTCATTCCAAGAAAGACTTCTAACAAAATATTTCATTAAAAATTTTTCTTTCTGTTTTAGTCAGCTTTATCACTGCTGTGACCAAAACACCTAACAAGAACAATTTAGAGGAGGAAAAGTTTATTTGGGGCTCACAGTTTCAGAGGTCTCAGTCCTTAGATGGTCAAGTCCATTGCTCTGGGCACAAGATGGAGCAAAGCACCATGGTGGAAGGGGATGGCAAAGGATAACAGCTCAGGACATGATAATCAGGTATCAGAGAGAACTCTCACTCACCAGAATGGAAATATATACCTCAAGGGCACACCCCCAAGGACCCACCTCCTCCAGCCACACCCTACCTGCCTACAGTTACCACCCAGTTAATCTCTGTCAGGGGATTAATGCATTGATTAAGTTAAGGCTATTATAACCCAATCATTTAATCTCTAAATTTTCTTTCATTGTCTCACACATGAGCTTTTGGAGGACACCTCAGATCTAAACCATAACACCTTCCAAATACTTTCTCCATCTTCTCCCTTAAAAGAGAAAGGCAACATAAAATGTAATTTACCACATATGTAAAATATTCCATTTAAGCATTCATTATGTGGTGACACATAATGATACATAGAACACTATAACAACATTTCAAGGTTCTACTTTTTCAAGTGCAAAGCAGCTTGGAGAAATTTTAGTGCTGTCCACTTATGAATATTTTGTCTGAGAAGAAACATGGAGGATTAAAATCAGACCCTTCAACACATTCTTTATATTTGTTTAAACCATTCAACCATGTAAATCCCAGCATACAATGCCACCTTTATATCTTGTCTTTCCATTTCTTTTTCACTTTGGGTTTTGGGCCAAAAACTAAGGATGCAGGAGTCTTGGTCCTGGTAAAGAAATTCTTACCATTAAATGACATAAATGACATGTCTGAGATACAGGGAGGTTAAACCCAGTCATGCCTTAATGGTATAGTCAAGTCCCAGAGGCTGGGGGTCTCTTTACATTTGTGCACTTACTCTGCTGCTGATTGAGGCCACACTTCGAGTGCTTGGGGCTGGTGACCTCTGAGTGATTGGGGTCATACCATTGCTCCGGATACTCTTTGGGGTCCCAGGTCTGACCTCTTGGTCCATGAGATCTGAAGAACCGATGCTTCCTCTAATGATAAAGCACATTCTGATTTTAACATGGTAGCCAAGTGACAATCAAAGACACAGGCAGGGGACAGCTTCAAAAAAAAAAATGATGAACACATGTGACCTACACTTAGATAGAAACAGCCGCACTGGAACTGCTCAGAAACTATCACATCACCCTCCTCCTCAAGACCCTACAGGGGCTCACTGAGTTTAGCCCCATTTGCCTGACTCCAGGGTCTTTGGAATTGAGTGCCCCCTGAACTTTTTGACTTTACTTCCCAGTTCTTACCAGCATCCTCCCAGCCATTCTATTATTCCTGAGTATTCTCTCAATTCATCAAGTTCACTTCTACCTCTAAGGTGTTTTCCTTTCTCCCCACCCAATATGCCCCCTGTGTCTGTAAATCTTGTCCATTCCTGGAGGCCACAGAAGTTCAGCTTTCCTTGTGAGGTCTTTCCTGTCAAGCGCAGGCCTTGTTCAACTGTCCTCCCCTTAGTTGCTGCTGACTTTTGGTCTTTGCCGTACCATTTAGTAAGATATTTGGTCCTGATAAAGAAGTTGTCATCATTAAATGGCATTTAAAACTGCAGAATGTCTTATTTGGTTCCCTAATTGATCCACATATGTGGGCCTTGGTGTTTCTTTGATCTGTGAGTTCCTTGGGGACAGAGTCTATGTTTTCTTTACCATGATATCTCCAGCATCTTCATAGTGCCTTGATACAAAGAAGTTACTCAGTACATGTTTTAATCAAAGACCAGAAATTATATTTCATTTCTCTGTTGTTTTAGTGTTTGATCCATGGTGCGTATTTAATAAATGCAGTATAAAATAAAGATGTTTGCTAAATGGGTTTGAATCACTTTCATGTTTGCTAAAATGATTTAATTTCATTCAATAATGATAAAAGAAAAAATAATTTCTGCCCTCCAGATGATCACAATTTTCTTATTAAAGAGAGCTTCATAAGTAAATGTAGAGTTTCGACAAATCACAATTTAAGTGTTTGTTCTTATTTTATCCATCATTAACCCCCAGTGCCCACAAAATATGCTACAAATTATGCTGGGTTGTATGCAATATATGCTGAGTTTCATTCTCTTAGTCACTATCTTAATAAGTTATGAAAGTAAGTATATTATTGGCAAAGCACACCAGCACTGGTTAACAAGTGATTTTTTTTGGCTTACAGTTGAGTCAATCAGAGAAACCAGATAGAATAAAGGAAGGATCTTTTTTTTAATGTCTGAACTTACATATATTACTACCACAAGATAAATCTGGCAGAAGAAAGAATAGGCAATGACCATCAGAGCTGTCAACCACAACTCTGAGTGATTGTTTTTCCATTCTGGGCACTAGAGAAGCCATAAAAGTCAGATATAACCTGATTAACACTACCATCTTCAATAACTATGCAAAAAGCAGCTACATTTACTGAATACTTTTTAGGTGTTAGCCAGTTTCCATTGCCCAACATCCCTGTAAAAACTTTGTATTGTCACAGAGCTTGGAAGAAGGTAAAAATAAAAATGTAGCAGTAAAGAAGTTTCTTACCAAGACTCTGAAACACAAGTACCAACCCTGCTAGCCTTTGTAATAAATGCTACTCTTCAAAAATTAAAAATGTTGAGGCTGGGGGCTAGGGTTGTGGCTCAGAGGTAGAGCGCTTGCCTGGCATGCATGAAGCACTGGATTCGATCCTCAGCACCATATAAAGTAAAATAAAGACATTATGTTCACCTATAACTAAAAAATATATATTAAAAAAATGTTGGGGCTGGGTTGTGGCTCAGTGGCAGAGCACTTGCTTAGCATGTGCGAGGCACTGTGTTTGAGTCTCACCATGGCATATAAATAAATAAATAAATAGTCCATTAACAACTAAAAAAATATATTTTAAAAATGTTAATAAAATCATTAAAATGTTAAAAGTAAAAAAAATCTATTTTAATGAGTAAATTGAGTCTTGGAGAGGTTAAATAATTATTCCATATATATATGCATACATGTGTATATACACACACCTGTCACCACACTACCATGCTGTCACACAGTACATGACAGTCAGGATAAAAATAGTATTGTCCATCCACACAAAGCCTGAGTCCATTCTGGTTTCTCATACTGCTCACGTATCATTTCATCAAGATAAAATCATTTCAACCAGGGGAGTTCTGCACTAATAGAATAAACGATCAAGAAGAGAATCTGAGGATCAGAGTTAGGGGTTAGTTTCTTGGGATTTGATTAAAATAATTTTGAAAAGTTTCTGGCAACATCCCTTTGACACTATGTAGATCTCCAGGCTCCTCTTTCTAGAACTGATATTCTAAACTATAGTGGTATGAACTCAGCTCAGGAGGGACTTGTGATTGTGTTTATTGATCCTGACAATGAGAATAATTTTTTTCTGATCCAGTAGATTGTTGTAATTTGGAATTTTAAGTTTCTGGGTGATTTTCCCGAGCCTTCCTACCTCAGGTGTTACATTGCTACATTTTACAGTAGCTAGTCATAGTCCTACCTTTCCAAGTGTTTTCTGTTCATCTCAGGAAGCACCTGCCCAGTGCTGTGGTGTGGTGACCATAGGTACTCTACTCTCCTAACTATTATCATAAAAATCTTTCTCCTTATTTTGTTTTAGGTAAAATAGTTTCAAAAAATAAAGGCTGGGGTGAATCGTGTACAACAGAACCAAGAAATTATAAGCAAAAGGTTTCATGTGGGCATTTCTGTTTGTGTGTGTGTGCGTTGAAGATATTCTCAGATCCAGGTGGTTTGGAAAAAGTCCCCATGGTGGATTAGCCCTATTGAACCCAAAACTCCTACTTGTGTAGAAGCTCTGGCAGAAGTTGATTAATTGTGGTGATGACATTTGAGAGGCTATCCTGTAATAAGGAAAGAATTCTTGTGATCGTAAGTCAGCTACTGGAAATCATCGTGGCCAGCAGCATTATTTCAAAAATGACATGCACTTTCTCATTTGTTCCTTACATTTACTGTGAGCCTCTCAAAAATATTTTCCTTTCAGTTGATTAGACTAAGAAAAGGTTTAGTCTAATGAGGCAGATCATAAATATTTGGGTGCCAACTCTTTTAGATGTTATATAAAACATGACATAAAATACATGAACCTTTGCCACTTAAATAGAAAGAGGGGAAAAAGCATCCTGAAGTCTAAATTAAAGCAGAGAAGTTAAAGACCAATTAAGAAAGAGCTATTTGTGATTCAAATATCATGTTACTGTGATTTAATTAAGAAGAATTAGAAATCAGTGCCAACCAACCTTCAAGTTCAATGTGGTTAAGGGAAAATGGGCAAGAAAGTGATACACGTATCTTATTCTAACAGGGACCAAGTGAGGGGATGTGACATTGTCTGGGGAGCTTGGTTATCATGGGTTATAGAATGACACATTTTCTAAGTTAGAAAAAAATCTCATTTCTTCAGGATATAAAATAAACTTTTTAAATCCCCCAAATCTTGATAATGACTTTCCAGATGTATCCATTTCTGGATAGAGGACCCAAGGATAAGGGACAAAGACTATAATTTAATGAATTGCCATTTTGACTCATATAATGGTTTCCCAGTAATTATAGCCAGGAAAATAATTTCTCAGGAAACAACCTTTCTAGAGTCTGGAAATCCTACCCAAGGATATTCATAGTCAGTGCCTGACAGGTGTTGGAGTGCAATGGTCTAGCTCTTCCAAACAAAGCTCAGGGACATAGTTCATGCTCCAGAGTCCCCCGTGGAATCAAGCTGGGTCCTGAGACTTGGACATATCTTAGATAGCACCATTACTTAGCTTCTTCACCTTCTCCTTTCTGCCTCTCCTACTCCCTTACTGGTTTTTTGTGGATTAATAAAATTAAAATTGGATTAATAAAATTAATAAGTTGTTTGTTTATGAATCCTTGTTTGAGGGTCTGTTTCTGGGAGAGAATGATTGAAGATAGAGACGTCCCAAAATCACAACACTGTGACTACTCATCCCAACTTAGAAGGGACTCAGAATCACTGCATTGAATAGCATTCTCTTTATCAACTATAATTTACAATTATATCCATTTAAAAACTCTCCTTTGTCTCATATGTTTAGTCTCTAGCAACTAGCAATTTGTAATACTCTGAGAGTCTGCTAGGCCTTTCCTAGCCCATTCATATTTTCTCTTGCTTTGAAACCACTGAAAAGAAATAGTCAATTAGAGATCTGCTAAAACATCATTTCCACTCTTTTTAGAAAATATTTCTTTAGCGGTAGATGAACACAATACCTTTATTTTATTTTTTATGTGGTGCTGAGGATCGAACCTAGCGCCTTACACGTGCGGGGCAGATGCTCTACCACTGAGCTATAACCTCAGTCCCACCTCCACTCTTTTATGATATACTTTATAAGGTTATTGGGAAGATTGAGATAGCACATGTACATACTTTAAGAGTGCTGTCCTACTTCAGATAAAGCATTAATTTCCAGGATATATAGAGAGCTCAAAAAAATTAACACAAAAAAACAAATAACCCAATCAATAAATAGGCTAAGAAACTGAACAGACACTTCACAGAAGAAGAAATACAAATAGTCAACAAATATATGAAAAAAAATGCTTAACATATCTAGCAAATAGAGAAATGCAAACCAAAACTATACTGAGATTCCATCTCACTCCAATCAGAATGGCTGAATACAAGAATACAAGCAATAATAAATGTTGGTAAGGATGTGGGGGAAAAGGTACACTCATACATTGCTGGTGGGACTGCAAATTGGTGCAACTCCCCTGGAAAGCAATGTGAGATTCCTCAGAAGCCTTGGAATGGAACCATCATTTGACCCAGTTATCCTACTCCTTGGTATATACCCAAAGGACTTAAAATCAGCATACTACAGTGATGCAGCCACATCAATGTTTATAGCAGCTCAATTCACAATAGCCAAGCTATGGAACCAACCTAGGTGCCCTTCAAACGACAATGGATAAAGAAAATCTGGTGTATGTACACAATGGAATATTACTCTGCCATATGAAAGAATGAAATGATGGCATTTGCCTGTAAATGGATGGATCTGGGCACTATCATGCTAAGCAAAATAAGCTAATTCCAGAAAAACCAAAGGCTGGATAGTCTTTCTGATATGCAGATGCTAACACACAACAAGGCGGGTGGGAATAGAAGTTCATTGGATTAGACAAAGGGGAATGAAGGGAAGTGGGGGGATGGGAATAGGAAAGACAGAAATAATCGGATATAACTTTCCTGTGTATATGTATGAATTCACGACCAGTGAATCTCCACATCATGTACAACCTCAAGAATGGGATCCTAATTAGAAGAAGTTATATTCCAAGTATGAATAATATGTCAAAATACACTCTACTGTCATGTATACCGAAACATAATTGAAATATTTTTAAAAAGAGGAAATAAAGAAGAGAACATAATGCATGAATATAAAAATTTAAATAATAAAAGAATATTATGGGGGGAGTAATATCCAAGCTCAGCTGCTCCAGGAAAAGACCAATGAACCATGAAGAAATCTGCATTGTGGAGGAGAAAGGAGAATAATTCTCAAACTAAGTCAGGTAATAGCCCAAAGAAAGGGGGAGCTCACGATCTCTTTAGATGATGGGAATTAAGAAAAGATGGGACATCTCCTGCCTCAACTTTCTTAGGAATCATTTGGGGATAATGGAACACATCTCTTGCTGTGGCGGTCCATTAATGAGTCATTATGATGATAAATACATGTTCCAGGAAAAGGACATTTTGCTTTATTGATCTCCAGAGCACTTCTATTCTTTCTTAATAGGAAAATATTGTTCTTAGCATGCTTACGCCAAAGCAATCCTGACTACTATATTCCAATTATCTGAAAACCATTTCAGGTACTTACAATTTTAAAAATAGTTTACTTAGGGACCTTCTCCATTTTATAATAAGAAGTCTCCATGTATATTTACAAGGTTTGTAATCTTACACAAGCCACCCAACTTCTCTGTGTCTTTTTCCTTGTCTGTAAAGAGACATTAAAATACACTGCACAAGATTGTCTAGGGCTTTGTTTCTCAAACTAATAAAGAACTAGTTTTTTGGCCAAGCATATGCCTGTAATCCCAGGAGCTCAGGAGGCTGAGACAGCAGGATCCTGAGTTCAAAGCCAGCCTCCACAATACAGTGAGGCCCTAAGCAATTAAATACAAAAAAGGGCTGGGGATGTAGCTCAATGGCTGAGTGAGGTTCAATACCAACAAAACAAAACAAAAAACTACTTTTTTATCAAAAAAGAACAAGAACTCCCCATGTCAATACCCCAGTATTTTGTGAAACATGTCCATATGACTTTATAGCTTAGATTATTTATACTTAGCAGTAGATAAGACACAAGGAGTAAACCTGGGCAGATAGATTCTAAAATAAATATAAGCAGTGTGATATTGGGGAATATTCTTATTTTTGTTCAGTAACTGTAAGACAAATAACTTAAAATGGCATGATCTAATTTTTTGGTAGGTCTGGAGCCTTTCTTTTTCAATAAGAAACTCTGTCTTGCCAGGCGAGGTGATGCAAACCTGTAATCCTAGCAGCTGGGGAGGCTGAAGCAGGAGGACTGTGAGTTCAAAGCCAGCCTCAGCAAAAGCAAGGCACTAAGCAACTCAGTGAGACCCTGTCTCAAAATAGGGCTGGAGATGGGGCTCAGTGGTCAAGTGCCCCTGAGTTCAATCCCAGGTACCTCCCAACACACACCAAAAAAGGAACTGTTTTTCCACTTTTGATACAGTGTCCTTCTTAAACACTAGTCCCAAAGAATAAGCCAAGATGGCTCAATTCCAGAGGACCGAGGAAAATGAGCAACACTTACCTTAGCTGCATATCATTACTAAGTATTTTATATATACTGGGGATTGAATCTCAAGGGCGTTTTACCACTGAATTACATCCTCAGTACTTTTTATTTTTTATTTTGTGACAGGGTCTCACTAAGTTGCCAAGGCTGTCATCTCTAAATAATTTTGAACACTACTACCTCAGAGATCAGGAGTCCAACAAGCAAAAACAAAAAATGAGATTTTTATAGCAGGTTTTTGTGGGTGACAGTATGGGACTTCCTTAAAGGAAGACAAATGAAATTATTTCAAGGGCAAAAACAACTGTAATTTACATTTTTATCATAAAAGGAATTTATCTAGATTCTTAAATATTTGGAAAATATTGAACAGTGATGATCCTTTGATAGTGGATGAAAATGACTTATTCTGTTTTTATAAGGATTTTTTTTTCTGTATGGATTTACATAAAAAGACACCTGCTTGCAAGAATGCTATAGGGAAAAAAGAAATAGGTATAGAGAGTCAACATGGGAAAAAAAAAAAAACAATAGTGAAAAGAGGGTACCTTCTAGGGAAATACTCTGGTCTATATTCTAAAATGATCACAGTGAACCAGAGCCCTGGGTTTGATGACTAGCACCACAAGAAACAAACAAAAAAAAAATAGGATTATAGGGAGAATGTAATTCTGTTTGCAGAACCTAAGGAGAAAAGAATGTCTGCCAGTTTTTACTGCCTGGCTTAGCAAAATTACTGCAGCCCCAAGTAAAGAAAAGGGAATTAACATAGGGGTGTGTTGGGCACGGTGGTGCACACCGCAGCTCAGGAGGCTGAGGCAGGAGCACCGCGAGTTCAAAGCCAGCCTCAGCAATGGTGAGGTGCTAAGCAACTCAGTGAGACCCTGTCTCTAAATAAAATACCAAATAGGGCTGGGGATGAGGCTCAGTGCCACATCTGAGTTCAATCCCTAGTAACAAAAACAAAAAACATAACTAGGGGTGGCTATTTTTTCTAATCTCTAGCTTTGATGTCACACTAATAGTGAAAATAAGCCTTGAGTTATGTATCCACAGGATTGAAAAAATCAAATATGATGAGAAGTGACAATGCTCTTAGCTATCCTACTTTTTGTTACTTTTTCTGACAAGTGATAGCTTTGTGCACAGGAGAATCTCACTTGGCCCTTCTGACAATCAGTTGGAGGGAGTGGAATTTAGGGAACAATGCCTGAGGCAATCCAAATGATAAAATTATTAATATTTTTATAAGTTGCAGGAAGTGCATATGACACTTAAAGTTTCCTATTGCAGAAGCTTCAATACAAAAAGATCAAGCAATTAAATGAAAAGGGAAAAAGGTACACTCTTACATTGTCAGTAGGAATGCAAATTGGTGCAACCCTTCTGGAAAGCAATGTGGAGATTCCTCAGGAATCTTGAAATGGAACCACCATTTGACCCAGTTATTCTAGTCCTCGGCATATACCCAAAGGACTTAAAAATCAGCATACTACAGTGATGCAGCCACATTAATGTTTATAGCAGCTCAATTCATAATAGCCAAGCACCTAGGAAACAACCTAGGTGCTCTTCACAGATGAATGGATAAAGAAATTGTGGTAAATATACACAATGGAATATTACTCTGCCATAAAAAGAATGAAATTATAGCATTTGCTTGTAAATAGATAGAACTGGAGACTATCATGCTAAGTGAAATAAACCAATCCCAAAAAAACAAAGGCTGAATGATCTCTGCGATATTCAGAAGCTAACACACAATAAAGGGAGGTGGAGAATAAAAGTTTATTGGATTAGACCAAGGGGAAAGAAGGGAGGGGAGGGGGATGGGAATAGGGAAGGCAATAGAAAGAATTGGACAGAACTTTCCTCTGTTCATATATGAATACACGACCAGTGAAACTCCACATCATGTACAACCACAAGAATTAAATCCTAATTAGAATAGTTATTCTCCGTGTATGTATGTCAAAGTACACTCATCTGTCATAAATATCTAAAAAGAAAAAATCAAAAAGAAAAAGAACATATTTGACCTGTACATCTCCATTTGAACTACAGTCCCGAGTCCCCAAACAGACACTTGTATCCCTGCAGGTGATACAGACAATTCCAACAGCTCTAAGTCCATGAGGAAGGTAAATGCTTTCTCTTTCAACTAAAAAATATCCTCCTGACTTTCTGTATTATGTGTGGGTTCTCTAAGTGGAGATACTTTACAGATAGCCAGAAGTCCTGTTTGGATGGAAATTCATCAACCTCATCCCCAAGCTACCTGATTGCCAATGGTATGTGTCTTACCTGTCTGAACCAGGGGCTGACTTTAAACTGCGAAAATGTTGGCTGTCGAAATCCAAGCTGTAGCTCCGCCCACTTTCAGTTTTTGGAGTTACGATTTCTCCTCTGGTTGCTGATCTGAACTTGCTAAGTAGAAATCTGAAATTATATATATTTATAGGTATTTAAAAGTAAGATAAAGAAGTATTTAAAGATATTTCAAGAATATAATTCCTACTAAATTATGTTATGTGCATTATAAATACATCCCAATGATCCCCACTATTATGTGTATTATAATGCATTAATAAAAACATAATACAAAGAATAAAATGCCTAGTACTTTCTATTTTTTTTTTTGGGGGGGGGGCGAGGTACCAGGCATTGAACTCAGGGGCACTTGGCCACTGAGCCACATCCCTAGCCCTATTTTGTATTTTATTTAGAGACAGGGTCTCACTGAGTTGCTTAGCACCTCACTAAATTGCTGAGGCTGGCTTTGAACACAGGATCCTCCTGCCTCAGCATCTGGAGTCGCTGGGATTACAGGCATGCTCCCCCACACCTGGCTTCCTAGTACTTTGAATAATAAATAGTTCTTCAGTAAAGAAGCCCTAGGCCTCAGGCATTCTGGGGAGTCCCAGTACTTCTGCAGTATAGTGTCATTGGTGGTAAGGTAGAAGGGTGTGACATTCTCCCAGGACCATTCTACCTGCTGGTAAGCCAGGACTCTGTCCCTGCTAAGCAAAAGACCACCTATATAGGGAACTCAGCACTATAACCTGGGAAGGGAAAATATCACTTGGCCTGGACATATGTGCAGAATAGATTGCTCACACTCACGTGGCTCAGAGAGGGGGCTAATTCTTTGAGACAAACTGAGGTAGCAACTTGTTAGACTGCATCTACATGATAGCAGTGACTGCCTTTCTCATTCCCTACCACTTTCTCTGAGCCTAGAATGATACGTTGCACATATTAGAACCAATAAATTCTTGTGGAATGAGTGACTAAACTCATGTGGTGGAAGCCATCTATATCTTCCACGACATTTCTTCCTATGATAACTAAGTTTGAATAATGGAGTGCCTCATGTTAGATGAACTCTTATTGAATTCGCATTTTACTAAATTATTTGAAACTTAAACAGAAATAGCTTTTCAGGAACCCTGATTCAAACACTGATATTACAGAGGGCCCCAAACATGGCAATTTCCAAGAGCAATTTAATAATAATAATAAAAAGGCTATAATATTCTTTGGGGGGATGGCTTTGGGAAAGACCAGTTAACTTACTCTACATTCAACAGTTTTCTAGGGGAAAAGTGGATTCCAAAGGTACTGGCAGGATCTTAATAGAATCTGCTAAGTTGTCTCTGCTTCAAAGAACCCCAGAAGTGTCACTGTCAATTGTCAGAAGCTTCAATCTACTGGAAAATTGATTTTTTTGTGAGAATGGCACTAATATAATGTCAGTTTATGCTGCTCTGAGAACCACCTCGTGCATGTCCCCACCTGTGCACCTCTCTTTAATGTCTCTTCTGCCGGAAATCATTCTTCCTCCCTTTTGATATCCTGAGCTCCATCCATCTGTCAAGGTCCACATTTTTTTTTTGTTTTTAAATTTTATTTATTTGTTCATTTTAGTTCTTATGGACCTTTATTTTATTTATATGTGGTGCTGAGAATCGAACCCAGTGCCTCACATATTCGAGGCAAGCGCTCTGCCACTAAATTACAACCCCATCCCCCAAAATTTTTGCAGGGGTGTTACTGGGGATTGAACTCAGGGGCATTCGACCACTGAGCCCCTCCCCAGCCCTATTTTGCATTTTATTTAGAGAAAGGGTCTCACTGAGTTGCTTAGCACCTCGCCATTGCTAAGGCTGGCTTTGAACTCAAGATCCTCCTGCCTCAGCCTCCCAAGCCACTGGGATTACAAGAATGTGCCACTGCACTTGGCTACAATTTGATGTCTTTCTTGATAGCTCCCATTACCCCATCAAGCAGGAATTTATTATTTAGCTACTCACTTAATAGTGAGTAAGTTAATAGCCTTATGACATCTCTTGGGATTTATTAACACTCTGCCTTGTTTAGAGAAGCTTTTGGCAACTCATATTGCTATTTTATATTTTCCTGAAATTCTTTTTATACTTATTATTATTTTGGGTACCAGGGATTAAACCCAGGGGTACTTGACCACTGAGCCAATTCCCAGCCCTATTTTGTATTTTATTTAGAGATAGGGTCTCACTGATTTGCTTTTGCTGAGGCTGGTTTTGAACTCATGATTCTCCTGCCTCAGCCTCCTGAGCTGCTGGGATTACAGGCATGCGCCACTGTGCCCAGCTCTTTTAGACTTACTAACTTTTCATGTATGAACCTTTTCTTTCCCAACTGGATGTCAAATTCTTTTTTTTCTAATCCTCTTAATGGGGATTGAACCCAGGGTTGCTCTACTACTGAGCTATGTACATCCCCAGCCCTTTTTACTTTTTATTTTTAGTATTTATTTATTTTTGTGCTGGTGATTGAACTCAGGGTCACTCAACCACTGAATCACATCCCCAGCCCTATTTTATTTAGAGACAGGACCTCAACTGATTGGCTTAGCACCTCACTTTTGCTGAGGCTGGCTTAGAACTCAGGATCCTCCTGCCTCAGCCTCCTGTGCTGCTGGGATTACAGGCGTGCACCACCACGCCAGGATTAGTTTTTATTTTGAGACATGGTCTCACTAAATTATCTAGGCTGACCTAGAACTTGCAACATCTCTGCCTCAGTCTCCTGAGTTGCTGGGATTTCAGATGTGTGCCACCAAACTAAATAGATGTTATATTCTTTGAAGACCAAGAACCATCGATGCCAGTTTTCAGTTTCAGCAGGGCCCAGCTGAGAGTCATGAATGAGTCAGGATTTGCATAATTCATTGTGCTGGTGGGTTACTTACTGTCTGTCAGCTCAAAACTCTACTTAACTCTGCAACCTAGTCTGTGATGCTTGGGCTGGGATCTGCAAATGGTAGCTCCTAGCAGCATCTGGGGGCTCTGAATCACATATTCAATCAACCACTGATTGTTTTTCAGGAATCAGGGACTATGCTAGATATTGCAACACAAAAGCAAAGAAGCCACTGGTCTAGCACTGAAACAGCTTACAATTAAGAGTGGGAATGGGAAGGTCAGAGTGTAATGGAAAGAGTGATGCAGAGGCACAAGGCATTGTGGGAGTCCTGAGATGAGATAAATGGATTCAATGTGAGATGAAGGATTGATACCTGGGATAGGATATTTGGGAGACTTTGGATTTTCTTTCCCATTCATCTCTGCTAAGTAATGAAGATGTGGTTAATCAAGAGTGTTTGAGTTAGATGACATTTAGAGTTCAATCCCACTCAGAGTTCAGGATTCTAAAAAAAAAAAAAAAAAAATCCCAGACTTGTTTTTAGAGCTAGATAAAGGCTGAGACACGGTCAGCATTTCAGGCTGCCTTCTGCTGAGACAATGAAGCATGGTACCTGGAAAGGATCATAACGTGACTTGGCACATATTAGAACTCTTGCTACTTTGGCCACAAAACTGTCCAATAGCTGCCTCAGAAACAAAGACTACAAAGTACAGAGCTGAGACAGAGCAATTTGCCTTTTGATCCTCAGAGTCTGCATGGGGCTGACTCTTCTAGATGAATTCTCTTATCCCCAGGTCACCTGTGCCTTCTGGCATCTTGGTGCCCTGTGTATCTCCCATTGCTGTGTTTAGTACTTGACACATGTATTTGCTTTCTGAATTCAGTTGAGGTGGCTAAATGTTGTTGTTGTTGTTGTTTTCTCCTTAAAGAAGCCTGAATTTTAAACAGGGGATAAAATGTGTGAAGCTCAAATAAGATATCTCTGATTTGAGTGTATCAGTGCTCAGGTTGGTGGGGAGGAGCATCCTACAACAAAGGTAGTCGTCACCTGTTTATAGACAATACTCTTCCTGACATAAAACCTTCTACCTAGAAGTAATTCGAGCAGATATGTGAAAAGAAAGAACTCACACATGCTTTATTTACCAAAAGTGGAAAGTAATTAAAAATGCATTTCCTGAGAAGAATGCTAAGAAAATGTTACTTCAGTTGAGTCTCTGGCCCTCCTCAGGGTCACTGAATCGATAACAGACTTGAAAAACAAAGGAGTCTTTATTTCAGAGATGACTGAAATAAAAATTCAATTTTCCCCTCAATAAGCTGTTTCTTACCCCTTTCTCTTGGGCCCATCATGGCTGGCTTTCTGCCCAACAGAAGGCGAAGTGTCTGATTTCTCCACATCCTGGCGGGTTTGTTCTTGGCTTCGTACTTCTTCAGATCCTCATTAAAAACAATCAGAAGACAAGTTTACACACAAAATGGCCAGAGATGAGAGCAAATTTCTTTTTTTATTCTTCTTTTAAAATATTTGAGATTTTTTCTTTTCTTTTCTTTCTTTCTTTCTTTCTTTCTTCCTTCACTGGGGATTGAACCCAGGGATGCTTTACACTGAACTACATCCCCAACCCATGATTTTTTTTTTTTTTTTGGTACCTGGGACTGAACTCAGGGGCATTGAACCACTGAGCCATATCTCCAGCCCTATTTTGTTTAGAGACAGGGTCTCACTGAGTTGCTTAGCACCTCGCCATTGCTGAGGCTGGCTTTGAACTCGTGATCCTTCTGCCTCAGCCTCCCAAACCGCTGGGATTACAGGCATGCACCACTAGGCCAGCCACAGCCCTTGTTTTTAATTGATTGATTGATTCATTGATTGATTTGAGATCGGGTCTCGATAAGTTGCTTAGGGCCTTGTTAAGTTGCTGAGGGTGGCCTCAAACTTGCAATCCTCCTGTCTCAGACTGTTGATTCGCATGGATTAAAGGTGTGTGTCACCATGCCCAATGAATGCAAATTTCTATTCTGCAGCCAGTGTTCCACAAAGATTCTTGTGCTAATCCAGAAAAGTAAATGCAGAGTAAATGGCAATGACATTCCCACCCCAAATTGCTCAGGTACACAGTTATTTCTAACTTGTTGAAATATTATAGAATTAACTAAGGACTAAGATCAGGACTCATCTATGGGAGGTTTGCTGGGATAAGCTTTCCGGGGGAAGGAATACATCAACCCTCTATAGGGAGGAGAAGTCTGGGTTCATGACAACTACAAATCTGTAGAAGCTGAGTTTTAGCATGAGATTATAGTAACGATAACCTCACTTCTGAGCACATAAGTCAGTCATCCTGGGAAGGCACCTGTTCCCCATTTGTGAAAGCCCTTCCTGGAAAGTGCCACACCCAGAAGTGGCAATGGAATCAGTTGCAGGGCTCCTGGTGCAGTCAGCCAGACTTAAAAGCAAGGGTACTAGTCTCCTATCTATGAAAGATGAGATTGTGTAGGGATAGGCCAGAAGATGCCTGTCTACTGGACACGAGAAACATGCTCCTTAATTTAACCAATTAAGTTGTAGTTTGTAAGCATTCTGAAGGTGTTATTTGCATTTGGGGCCAGTATAATTCTTCATTGAGAGAAACTGTCCTATGCATTTCTGGTCATTTAGCATCTCTGGCTCCTGCCTACTAAATACCATCAACCCAACCTAGTTGCTGTGGCAACTAGAAATGCCCCTTTGCATTTTTTTTTTCTTCTATCCTTTTTTCTTTTTTTTTAAGCATCAGAAATTTATTGGTTGCTCAAAACATTACATTGATCTTGACATATCATATATCATACATTTGTTTCAAATGGGGTATGAATTCTTATTATTCCCCCATGTACAGATTGCAGAATCACGTTGATTATACAGCCACGTTTATACATACTGCCAAACAAGTGTCTGTTGTATTCTGCTGCCCTTCCTACCCCTTTCCTATCCCCCCTCCCCTCCCCTCCCCTCCCTCTACCCCATCTACCATAACTCATTTCTCTCACTCTCTCTTATTTATTTATTTATTTATTTTTTCCTCCCCTTCGCCTCACATCCTCTTATATGTAATTTTGTATAACCCTGAGGGTCTCCTTCCCTCTTCCATGCAATTCCCCTTCTCTCTCCCATTCCCTCCCACCTCTCCTCCCTGTTTGATGGTAATCTTCTCATGCTCTTCCTCCCTGCTCTGTTTTGAGTCGCCCCCCTTATATCAAAGAAGACATTCCGCATTTGTTTTAAGGGATTGGCTGACTTCACTTAACATAATCTGCTCCTTTGCATTTCTAAATGCCCCTGTTTGGGGAACAAGAATGCAGTGCACAGTATCAATGCTTTGTCAAGAACCAAGGATTAGCTGGGTACAGTGGAGCAGGCCTGTAATCCCAGCGACTCTGGAGCCCGAGGCAGGAGGATCGTAAGTTCAAGGCCAGCTTCAGCAACAGCGAGGCCCTGAGCAACTCAGTGAGACCCTGTCTCTAAATAAAATACAAAATAGGGCTGAGGATGGGCTCAGTGGTTAAGTCCCCTGGGTTCAATCCCTGGTACTCCCCCCCCCCAAAAAAAACCCCCAAGGATTAGAAAAAGTATCATTTAAATAAAATACATCTGAAACAAAACTTGTTGAAAAAAAATCAAGAATTGCTTTCACAATGTGGATCATTTAATTCACTTGTTTTATGTTACTTTCTTGGCTATTTAGTAAAATATTAGAAGTTCATCAGAAAGAGAAGTGTCTGTGATGAAGATAAATGGCTCCTTTGAAGCCCTCAGCATGTTAGATTTATGGAAAATCACTATGAATTTTATTTTTCACTGTATTCCTTTTTTTGTATGAATTACATATTTTGATTCCGTGCTACCGAGGTGTGAAATAACCTTAGGGAGTCAGAAAATTTAGCTGTGCTCATTTTCTACATAACACAGGGAGGTTATTTAGCATGCCAAAATAAAGATGAGAACAGTTTTGAAAGTAAATCATTGCTTTAGTTACCTGGACTTCTTCTTAAGATGGACTGCCGGACAACATCAGTGCCCAGAACATTCACTTGCTTGAAACGCTTTGCCTTTTCCTCAAAGAACCATTCACCAGTTATAATCCTTAGCTGCCTTCTCAAGGGAAAAGGGGAGAGTATTAAAATTTGATTATTCAGCTGCATAATTAACTCTCTAAAACATCTAATGAAGTAAAAATAGCTACTTAAGGAGTCGATCTCAATCTCTGTAGTATTTTATAATGACAATAAAAGACACTACTGTATTAATCAAATATACGTATACAATCTGCTAGGTACTTGTTAATGACTCTTCATACTTGTTCTGTTTTGATTCATAACAACTTGTGTAAATCTCCATTTTTATAGCTGAGGAAACAGAAACCTACATCAATAAAAAAATGGCATATCTCACATAACGTAGCTGGTAAATATTAGAGCTAGAGTCCCCTCCCAAATAGTCTGGTTTAGGGCTCATGTTTTTTCTTACCTGCTACATTACTGGGGAGAAATAATAATAATAATAATTACTACTACTACTACTACTACTACTACTACTACTACTATTATAATACCAGGGATTGAAACCCAGGGTGCCTAACCACTGAGCAACACCCCCACCCTTTATATTTTATTTATATTTTTGGTACCAGGGATTGAACTCGGGGCACTCAAACACTGAGCCACATCCCCAACCCTATTTTGTATTTTTTAAAATATATTTTTTTAGTTGTAGTTGGACACAATTCCTTTATTTTACTTATTTTTTTTTATTTTTATGTGATGCTGAGGATCAAACCCAGCGCTTCACATGTGCTAGGTGAGCACTCTACTGATGAGCCACAATCCCAGCCATATTTTTTTTAAGAGACAGGGTCTTGCTAAGTTGCTTAAGTCCTCTCTAAACTGCTGAGGCTGGCTTTGAACTTGTGGTCCTCCTGCCTCTGCCTCCTGAGCAGCTAGGATTACAGGGGTGTGCCACTATACCAGGCAGGGGAATGATCTTTGATGTAAGCAATGAGGAACAAGTGAAGATTCCAAATGATACAGGGATTACAATTGGATTCAAATTTAAATTTTCTTTTTTCCCCTTTTTTTCTTCTCTTTTGGTTTGTTTGTTTGGTGCTGGGGATGGAACCCAGGGCCTTGAACCTGCTAGGCAAATGCTCTACCTCTGAACTACACCCCAGCCTAGAAAGATTTCTTGATGTAACATGAACGCTGGATTACAGTGGAGAATAAAGACAGGTTGGCCATTGTAGTAGCCCAGGAGGGAGGGGGCAGAACCCATGCTAGGACAATGGCCAGACTAATAGACACGTTCAAAATGCAGGTGGTAGAAGAGCCTGCTTGGATTTTGCCATCAATTGAAAGTTAAGATGGGAAAGGATCTTTGAGTAGCCCTTTCTATCTTTTAAGCCTTACCTGCAATGACTATGTGAAATCATCTCCCATCTTCCCTCCTGAAATGCCTATTACCCTCTTCTTCATTTGCACTTCTCCTCTGACCTAAAACATTTTAAACTTTATTTTAGAGTCTTTTCGATACCTACTGGGCTCTAAGCTCCCTGAGAGACAATTTCTGTCTGATTCATCTTTCTCCCTGGTACCCAGAAGAGAGTTTTTCATAAACTGTGCTCTCAAGTACTACTTTAAAAATGAATGATTGACTGCTCCCCACCACTTTAACACATTACTCTTTTCACATCCTCACAGCCCTCAGTACTATCAGTGGCATGAGGGCAAGAATCTTGGCTGTGTTATTCACCATCTCTAGGAGAAGTACTTGGCACTGTGCTTAGTAAATATTTGTGGAATGAATTAAGACATCTAGAATTCAACCTATAGCAGCTGTGCTGCTATAAAATCTATTTTGAGCCAGGTATGGCTGCACACGCTTGTAATTCCAGTGACTTGGGAGGCTGAGGCAGGAGAATCGCAAGTTGGAGGCCAGCCTCAGCAAATTAGCGACACCTTGTCTCAAAATAAAAAATAAAAAAGGCTGGGGATGTGGCTCAGTGGTAAAGAATCCCTGGGTTCAATCTCCAGTACTGTGATAAATAAAGTCTATTTTCAAGCTTACAAAGAGAATTTTAACAATCATAGAAGTCATTCGGTAGTCTAAACAGATTTCTAATTAAAAACGAAGAAATGTATTTAGCTACTTAGGGAACATTCTGAGAATTGTAAATAGGCCTGTGCGACTAGGGTAAAGAGTTTGTGGAGGAGTATTGTGGGAAAGTGAGGTTGAAAGGTAGGCTTGAAGCCATGTAATGGAAGTCTGAATACCATACAAAGGAGCCAGAATGTCACTGTGGAGGCGATGGGGTACTCAGGCAGTTTTTCTAAAGTTCAGATTGGATATTGTAATCTATGGAGAAATATAAGAGAAATCAAAAGAACCAAGCAGGCCAATTAAGAAGTTATTGCAATAGTCACGATAGGAAATGATGAAGATATAAATCAGGGTTTCATGGGGATGAGGGGTAAAAAGAAGGATAAAGATCCTTCAACCATTGAAGATGAGATTAGCAAGAACTGGTGATAAGTTGAATGTGATGGCTGAGAAAAGAAACAGAGCAAATAGAGGTATCTAGCCTGAGAGTATTATATCCACAAAGTTTAGCAATTGGTTGGATTATACATCAACAGCTGGATGGCAAATATAAAAATCCAGAAAAAAAATATGTCACCTTTGTTCCCCACAGCAATTACCATGAAATCCTTCTGAATATAAGTGAGAAAGGCAAGTTATACACGGAACAAAGTTCCAATACTAAGGAAAAAAGTAAAAATGTCAACCTTGGAGAAAGCATTCATTGAAAGGTGAGACTATAGCATGTCCAACTCAGGTTTACTCCCAAGTGACTATATCACCTATTGAGAAGCACAGACTGTTGTTAGGGTATATCCAATCTAAGAAGGTCTAACCTACCAAAACCAAAAGGCTTGAATATGTTAAACTATTTCTGGGTGCAGCTCAAATGATCTATACATTTATACTTATGTTAGAAATCCAGGAGATAATTGTGGTATTTAAATGCTAAAGATGTCCTCTCAAGATTACTGCCAATCAAACACTAATGTACATACTGATGATATCAGACTTTGCAGATGGAATTAGGTTGCTAATTAGTTGACCTTAGAATAGCAAATGATCCCGGATTATTCCTGTAGGCCCAAGGTAATCACATGAGTCTTTAAAAATAGAGGAAGAAACAGAAGTCAGAAGTCAGATTGCAAATGTGAAGCTCAACATGCTGAGGAGGCTCTAAGATGTGGGGATCTTACAGGCAAGGAATGGAAAGAGAGGCCTCAAGGAATTAAGAGTGGTTCTCAGTTAATAGCCCACAAGGAAATGGCGACTTCATTCATACAGCCACAAGGAACAGGATTCTGCCTACAAGAGTATTCATGGAATTAGGTTCTTCCCAGAGCTGCTTTATAAGAGTTCAATCAGTTGACACCTTGATCTCAGTCTTGTGGAACCAGAAGTAGAAAAATGAGCCAATCCAATCCAGACTTTCAATCTTATGGAATGATCAGATAATAACTTTGTATTGTTTAAAGCTGCCAAATTATGATAATTTGTTAAGCTGACAATAGAAAACTACTATAATAATTAAACATAGTCAAGTATGTATTTTAAAATTTAGCACAGGAAAGATCTGCACACATCACAAGAAGATAATAAGAAAAATCCAGAAGCACAATAGGGTAAAGATGGACACACTGTGGTCTGTGGGTCAAATTCACCCTACCAACCTATTTATGCAAGTTAGGAAACGGTTTTTACATCTTTTTAAATGACTGGGAAAAAAATCCTGAAAGAATATTTCATGACAGATGAAAATTAGATGAAATTCAAAATTTAGTGTGTGTGAGTAAAGTTTTATTGGAAGATAGTGAGGCTTAATTATTTATGTGTTTTTCCTGGCTGTTCATGTGCCTTAACCACAAAGTTGAACAGTTGTAACAGTAGACAATATAGCCCAAAAGGCCTAAAATATTTACTCTCTGGTGTTTTAGGAAAAGAAAAAAGTTTGTCAACCTCTTTAATAAGTCAGGGTTTTCACAGAATGAAAAAGACTAAGAGGAACAATATAGCTCAGTGGTTGAAAACCACCCACTGGTGACATGCCAAGGTCTTAGCTCTTTTTTTTTATATATGTTCTTAGGATAAGGTATGGAGTGAATAATATACTGATAAAAGTTTCATGCATGACAGGAGAAAGTGGGACACTTCCAGTATTCATGCCCCAAGAAATGAGCCTCCATATCACCTTTACCACAGACATCTAGAGCTGCCAACACCTAACACAAATAAGATCTTTCTAGAATTGTTAGGCATTACCTTTTGCTATCCTTGTATTTGCTCAACTCAGATATGTGCTTGAGTCATTTGTTACTTTAGAATTTCAAAACATCAGAACAATCTCTTGGGATTATACCTGAGTCACCTGTTCAAGTCCTGAAGGTAGATAGAAGCTTGGCAGAATAACAGGAAACTAATACTAATACTAAATGAATTCATACCAGGTATTGTAATCAGGTAATGTACCAAGCACATTATATATGCTATCTCTAATCCTCACAGTGAGACATCAAATAGCTATTATTATTCTCATTTTACAGACAAGGAAAGTAAAGCTCACATGTGTTAAATAATTTGCCAAAAGTTGTAAAGGTGTTACCACAGAGACAGGGTTTATATTGAAAGCCTATACCCTTTAAGTTTGGAAACATTGTCAGAAGAGAATTTATACCTGCCAACTTTAACAAGGATTTGAGGAGGGGTAAAAACCTACAGAAAGCAAGGAATAACATATTGTGTGTGTGTGTGTGTGTGTGTGTGTGTATTTTGAGGGCAGAGTGGACAGAATAAAGAGAGGCAAAGAGAATAGAAAAACCAATGTGACACGTATTATATATTTTATGTCCCTATCTACCATATCAATCTAGTATTTGAAAATCTCAAGGCTTGAAATAGACTCTGTTTCCTCTAAGTTGTACTCTAAAGAATGGGTTTGACTGGATTTACAATGAGTTATACTCACGATTTGTGAATAATGATTACCGAGTATTCAGAATTTGTTAAGTCCTGATTTTATTTGA